CTTGTCCAATGTTCACATTAATGTATTGCCATCATTATCTCTATTTTATGGATGGGTAAACTGAAGCCCAAAGAAGTTATGTAACTTAACCAAAATTACACTGCTACAAAGCCATTGGAGAAAGATTTGAAGCCAGGCAACCTGGGGCTCCAAGGCCAATATTCTAACTACTATACTACATTGCTTTTTGCTATAGAAGTTTTTATTTGTAGTTATACTTAAGAAAATGTTCAGTAAGCAATTTATAATTTATTTCATTAGGTGGATTCTGTCCTCTGAATTATTTTCATTTTGTTTATATAAAATCCTGAATTAATAGAGCCTTATAACATATTTTAGAGAGAAGTCACTGAACAGGGCAGTGTAACTAACAGTTGCAATCAAGAAACATGTCCAGAGTTGAAAGACCAGACAAATGGCAGATGTTGAATATATACTGAAAGGAATATAAGTCATTCTCCCATAAAGACACATGCAAGTGGATGGTCATTTCAGCACTATTTGCAATAGCAAAGACATGGAATCAACCTAAATCTCCATCAATGGTCTATCAGTGAATAAAGAAAATGTGTTACACATACAACATGGAATACTCTGCAGCTATAAAAAAAAATTATTTTCATTTTGTTTATATAAAATCCTGAATTAATAGAGCCTTATAAATATATTTTAGAGAGAAGTCACTGAACAGGGCAGTGTAACTACAAAGGTAATCAAGAAACATGTCCAGAGTTGAAAGACCAGACAAATGGCAGATGTTGAATTATATACTGAAAGGAATATAAGTCATTCTCCTGCAAAGACACATGCAAGTGGATGGTCATTTCAGTACCATTTGCAAATAGCAAAGACATGGAATCAACCTAAATCTCCATCAATGGTCTATCAGTGAATAAAGAAAATGTGTTACACATACAACATGGAATACTCTGCAGCTATAAAAAAAAAAAATGAGAAGCCGGGTGCTGTGGCTCATACCTGTAATCCCAGTACTTTGGGAAGCCGAGGCGGGCAGATCAAGAGGTCAGGAGTTCGAGACCAGCCTGACCAACATGGTGAAAACCCTGTCTCTATTAAAAATACAAAAATACAAAAATACAAAAAAATACAAATTATTAGCGTGGTAATAATACCTATAATCCCAGCTACTCAGGAGGCTGAGTCAGGAGAATCGCTTGAACCTGGGAGGTGGAGATTGCAGTGAGCCGAGATTACACCACTGCACTCCAGGCCTGGATGACAGAGCAAGACCTGTCTCAAAAAAAAAAAAAAAAAAAAAAAAAAAATTAGATTACGTTCTTTGCAGTAACATGTATGGAGCTGGAGGTCATTACCCTAAGAAGACTAACACAGGAACAGAAAATCAAATACTACATATTCTCACAAGTCAGAGCTAAACATCGAGTACATAAGGACACAAACAACAACGAAACAACAGGCACTGGGGCTGACTTAAGGGTGGAGGGTGGGGGGCAGGGGAGGATCAAAAAACTACCTCTCGAGTACTATGCTTATTAACTGGGTAATGAAATAATCTGTACATCAATCCTAGGACATACAATTTACCTTGTAACAAACCTGCACATGTACCCTGAACCTAAAATAAAAGTTAAAAAATATAGCAGATGTTACAGGACAGTTCGAGAAAACACGCTACACTCTTATGTCCCAGGGGATTCCTACTTTAAGAACTCAATTATACTTGAAGGTCAAAGCTCTGAGCAATCCAATAAATATGCACATCAGGTCCTCTGATCACCCTGGGTTCTTAATGTACATTAGCTATGATTTGCCTTTAGTTCAATTCAACTAATATTTATTGAGTACTTAGCATAGTTTGGGCACTGTGCTTAAGATGTACAAATAAGAAATAAACCTGGCCTCTGCCCTAGAATTTCTGACAGCCTAATACCAAAAACATGGAATCAACCTAAATGCCCATCGATGGTAGACTGAAGGGGAGGTAGACTGATTTATAAAAGTAAAGTCTTTTCCTGAAGTGAGACAACAGACTACTATCATACTGTTTTATGACAGTCTTGGGGAAAGAAAAAAGAAAAAAAAAATCCAGACTGCTATTAGAGTTTATCAATACATTTTCATTAAAAGGCAAGATCTCTGATCCCTCTCAAGAGACTATTTGATTTTGGTCACATTATTTTATTTAGAAAAAGGAGAGATGTGGGGTGGCTGAGGTGTAGTTGTGATACTTAGAAACACTTGTTATTTAAGAGAAAAATCATCGTGTTTCCTTTGGTAGACCATTTACGAACACTAGAATGGTACAGAGGTCGGTGTGGCCCCTGAGCAACGATAACATGCAAATTCTTGAAGTGTTTCAGATTAAACAGAGAGACACAAACACTGTCATTACTTTTTAAACTCATTTAAAATCTGAAAACTGGGACCTTCCTTTCTTACCGTCTTATCTCACTGACCCTGATCCACCGACGCAAGGGAAGCTAAGCATATGATCACTTGTGGGATAACTGTCATTTTTCCTTATCTCACATCGTGAGTACATTTGAGGGCTGTGCCCAGCACTCCAAGGATCTCTGTCAGCTTGTATTTATTGGCCTTTTATTAGAAACTTTCTTGCCTCATGTCTGGTCTCATGAATATAGATCAGAAATTAGAAACAACAAATATTTATCTGGTAAGCAATTTCTTTGGTAACTGAACTAATAGGAACTACTGGGACTTCCTGGGAGTAAGGCTACCTTTTCCCTTAGAGTTTGTTTCCTCTTTTGTAGATTTCACACATTGCTCAAATATTTGTGGCATGCCTTCCAACTACAAGGTGCAACTGAGGGCGGAGAAAAGGGAAAAACTTAGTTGGGCAGACAGCTAAAGTTCGTCTTTGGTAAAATTCTTTTAAACAGAAAGACAGCCTGAAAAATCACGCTACAGGCACAAATAGAGTGGCCTGGGGAAAACTCAGGCAACAGCTGCACTGATAAAGGAAGGAAGGCCCAGCATAGAAGCCTTTTGTTCTTTGTGTGATTAGCAGGTTCCCAGGAAAAAGTTTCTCCCCTTTTTCAGGCACATACATGGTGGGCTCTGTGGGAACGTGCATGGGGGTGGAGAGGGTGCTTACCTAGAACCCAGAGTTACACAAAAAAGAGAAGCTGAACTTCATCCTTACCCAAGACATACCCACAGCTGCACAGATGAGGGGAGTTGCACAGATAGCTTTACAGTAAGTTACACGAACAGCTACAGAGATGAGAGGAGTTTCTTATAAAAGCTTGTGGATTCAACTGTAATAGTGGCAACCCATCTGGGACCCCTCTCCGCTGCAGACAGCTTTCTTCTTTCATATAATAAACTCTCTCTTCAACATCACTCTGGTGTCCACACTCCTTAATTCTTTTGGTTGTGAGACAAGCTTGGATAACACCTCAGACAACGAGACCACTGACCACTGACCCGTTTGACAATGATGTGCTACAGGATGGTGTATGCTGGGTATTCATACATCATCATGCAACTTCCTAACTTTATGTTTAAGGTGGTTTCCTCTGTTATCACTTTGGTATTTCCCATCTAGTCACAGTATTACATGGGTCTTACGCGCTTGTTAAGAGCTGATAAGAGAAGCTTAACATTCACTTGATCGAATGGTTACTATGGCTTGTATCCACAGGAGCTCCAGCTCATGCTTAATATATTGTGTTAGAACAAATGGATCAGAGTGAATTCTGTAACAGTAAATCCACAGAACTGGAAAATTACTGACTTGCATCATAAACTGATTGCAGTGGGAAGGCAGAGAGTTCAGATTCCTGTTGTACTGGGGAAAGAAGAAACCAAAGAAAATAAGTGGTTCAGACACAGGGGACTATTTAACTGATCCAAGCCAGAAGACTACTGAGGGTGAAGGGAGCATTATCAATAATTACGTTCAGACAAAAGTTGTGACTGGCCTTAGTAAACCAGGATAGATGTAATTTAAAAAGAAAGAAAGAACAAACATAGCTAATGTACATTCAGGGATATCAGAGGACCTGATGTGCATATTTATTGGATTGCCTAGAGTTTTGACCTTCAAGTATAATTGAGTTCTTAAAACTTAGATTTAGGTTTGTGGTTAAGGGGCAAAACAATCAGATTCCAAATAGGGTTCTGCAGACAAATCCCACAGGTCCTAAAGTCTCTGGGTCTTTTCCTTGCCATTGTGGTATCTCAGGGGCTTGTGTAGGCAATGACAACCAGCTCCATACTTCTGCTAAGAGAAATTTGGGGATCAGAAAATCTTTCTCTGCAGCTCTTCAGAGTCTCTTTAGTTTACTTCAATAACAAGGAAATCAGAAATCTCAGGACAGTGCTGGATGTGGCAGAAATTCCAGGGCAATTCACGACTTTCCTACCAATTTAGAGTTATCTGTCTGGAATCACTTCAACTGACAGTGGAAGATAGTTTATAAAATTGTAGGGGAGGCAAAATTTCACCTTCACCCCTGTAGGGTCCCAGCAGGGCCCTAGTATTAAATCGATTTAAGATATTTATGGACTGTCAGGAGAGAACCACACGAATTTGTTTATTTTAAATGGCACGGGGTGGTCTCACTAAAAAAACAAAAACAAAAACAAAAACAACACCTAAAGCAGCAGTTAAGAGTCAACTGCTTATAGAGTGAAATGGACAAAAAACAGTAAGTTGTGAAACATAAGGCGAAGGGGCTTGGGCTAATTAACTGGGTAGAGAAGTGACTAGAAAGATAGGGATTAACAAATTTTGTTTGGACAGATTTCCCTGGACTTCAACTTTCTGTCCTTGAAGATAAGAACGTTATTTTATAAGGAAGACATCTTTCACATGGGAATTTCATCTCCTCCTTTTAAGACACATAATATCCATGAGAGTGATCTTGCACCTGCTGTTTTTAAGCGCCTTTAATTTAAAATAGTCAATATGCCACAGCAGCATATTTTGAGGTGGTATATTATTAACTCCTTCAAGGCTAAAAGCCTTGAATATGCCGAGGTAGTTTCCAGACTGGAGAACCTTCTCAGCTAACATTTGCCACTTGTGGAATGTATTCCATGTACTGAGTGCTTATTAACTTTTCTCTCAGTCCCTCACTGCTGCTCTTCTCGCCTCATCTCATCTAAGGGAAAACTCAGGCTCCAAAAGCAAACTGATTCCATCAAGATAACAATGTAACTGGGACCTGGGGTCCAAGCCTGGTTCTCGCACAAGGTAGATACTCCCTGAGATGCTGGGGAAGAGCCATGGTAGGGCCACTCATTGCCCTCTTCCCTGGGTGGACCTTGGACATCCACCTTCCCTGCGTTAAAGTGCTCCACTAGGTGACGTCGGAAGACAAGTACATGTGAAATCCTGTGGCTGACCACAGACAGGCGAGCAGTAAGGAAAAGCTCGCCGCTTCCTTCCTCAACCCTGCGCCGGCTGCGTCAGTGGCCTTTCATCCGCACTCAAAATGGCGGCGGCGGCGTCAGCGTCAGCGGTCTCCTGCCCGTATCTATCGTGGCGGCGACGGGACCCGCCTCCCTGGGCGCCGGAGTCATGTGACCCACACAATGGCTGAGTGGCTACTCTCGGCTTCCCAGCAACGCCGAGTGAAAGCCATGACGGCCGCCGCCGGTTCAGCGGGCCGCGCCGCGGTGCCCTTCCTGCTGTGTGCGCTGCTGGCGCCCGGCGGCGCGTACGTGCTTGACGACTCCGACGGGCTGGGCCGGGAGTTCGACGGCATCGGCGCGGTCAGCGGCGGCGGGGTGAGCGGCGTGCTGCGGGGATACGCGGGGGGCGACAAGAGCCCGCCCCGTGAGGCCCGCCCCACAAACCCCCGCGGCGTTGCCCTGCGTTTCGACCCGCTCCACCTTCGGCCGCACTCTCCTAGGGTGCCAGTCAGCAGGCGGTTGGGGCGGGTGCGCTGCGGGGCTGGGGCGGGTGCGTTCTCGTTTAACACGAACCACAGAGGCAGTTAGGTTTGAACAAATGAGGATCCGGAGGTCCAGAGAGTAAAGTGACAGGTCTAAGCAGTGAAGAAGCCGGGGCTGGAACCCTAGTCCCAGGCAGTGGGGCCCAGGCTGTCTTCATCTCGGAGATGGCCGTCGAGCAGCGTCGCTCCAGAAAGGGCGAGGGAGTGCGGGAGCGTCCGTGTGCGAAAGAGAACGCCCCAGCGGGATACTTTGGCTGTGTCTCTTCCTTTTGGGGGAGCTGGTGGGTGGTGGAGTCGTAAGTCCCGGGCAGTCGTTAGTGCAGGGTAAGAATGCGCTTCTCCAGAGACGGTAGCGCCGAATAGGATTTTGTTTGGAGGCAGGACTGGTGCCTCAAGGTGTCTTTAAAAGGAATATAAGCAAGCGGCCTGAAACTACCAGGTACTCCCTCTGGGCCCACGAGCTTCATGGTGGCCAACCTTTGGGTGAGAAGGTTTTTGTTTTTTGGTTTTTGTACCTGAAATTACATCTAGGGCTAATTCTTTTTGAAAATGTTAACGTTGAACTCGGGTTTTTGGGGTTGAGTTGGATGGAGCTTGCATCCTTACATTCAACTCAGAACAAGCTTGAATGCCTGCTGCAAGGATGACCTGGTCGGTAGTCTGACCACATGATATAACCTGCTAGGGGAATTTTTTTTTCCCCTGGAGTTAGCTGATCCTTTTTGATTTTATGTTTTTATTCCCTAATTTGCAGTCTCTCCAGCAGTGCTGGTGTGTGTTTCAGGGGAAACCTGTGGGTCGATGAGCTAATGCATTTATTCTTTGCTACTACTATTCTCCTTTTTATGTTTTTGGTCTAAACCTGAAACAGCCAATATTTCATGAAATGGGGCCCCGTCTTTTTTGTAGCTTGTGATACTAAATCTAGTGTAAGAGCTTACCGAAAAATGGAAGTCTTTGTTTCCATTAGATTTATTAAGCCCAGTTTAAAATTACTAAGATGAGACGAATCATTTCATAATTCAGAGTAGGAAACTCCTATCTAATCTGATAGAATATACAACAATTATTAGTATCCCTGTATAGTGCATTACTCCTCGTAGGAACTCACTAAATAATGAAAATTATTGCAACATTATATTTGCATACCACGTTAAACTTCTTTGTGGAGTCCTTGGTCCCTAGCCCAAGTTGTGGCAGTAAGTGTTTAGAATGCTGTCATTTAATCTTTATGTCAGAGAGGGAAAGCAGTATGGTACAGTAAGTAGTTAAGAATGTAGGGCCAGGCGCGGTGGCTCACGCCTGTAATCCCAGAGCTTTGGGAGGCCGAGGGGGGTGGATCACAAGGTCAGGAGATCAAGACTACCCTGGCTAACACGGTGAAAACCCGTCTCTACTAAAAAATACAAAAATTTAGCCGGTCACGGTGGCATGCGCCTGTAGTCCCCAGCTACTTGGGAGGCCGAGGCAGGAGAATCGCTTGAACCCGGGAGGCAGAGGTTGCAGTGAGTCGAGATCGCAACATTGCACTCCAGCCTGGGTGACAGAGTGAGACTGCGTTCAAAAAACAAAACAAAACAAAACCCCAAAACCAAAACCAAACAAAACAAAGAATATAGACTAAAGAGATTGCCAAGAGTGTATTCTGGGTTCTGCCACTTCACTGTATGACCTTGGCAGGTTATCTACTATAACTCCTCTCTGTCTCACTTTCTTTTTTTGGGATACAGTTATACTTAGGTGGTAGGAGCATCGTGAGGATAGACCTGAAGTACTTAGGATGATGTCTTTCACATTACTGATTTTGGTTAATAACCAGTTTCAGGGATTAGGGAGGAGGAAGTTATTTCAAGGCCACTGGATGATGAAATGTTCCCAGGGCTTTTTTCCTGGGCCTGTAAACAGTTCCAGGCCTCATTCAGGCAGTGTGGTTGGTAATCCTATGATTTGTTACTGCTTGATGGTGCATTTTAACATTTGGTTATATTGCCTTTGACTTACGCTGTTGTGTTAGGTGTGGCCGTAGGTTTGCAATAGCATAATTGGTGTGTTTGCCTAAAGCCGATACTTTCTCTGTTAAATGAGGGAGTGCATAGAGGGCAAAATAAACCCTAGACAGCAAAGCGCACAGTTTTAATGGCATAGTGTAGGACAGGAAGCATTGTTTACCTAGGGTCAAGGATATATTAGTGTGCCTATACAGTGTTCATTTAAAGATTGCCTATTTTGATATTGGAACTCCTGGTAGGTTGCAAGCTCTTTGAGAAATATGTATTTTAAAAATTTGTATATATGACACTTGCCTTTATTGAGAACTTACTATGTGCCAGGTAACGTGCCAAGTCCTTTACATACATCTAATTTTAGTCTTACAACAGCTGAATGAGTAAGATAGCCCACTTTACAATGATTTGCCTATGATTACATAGCTTATTAATGATGAAATCAGAATACAAACTCCATTTGACTTAAAGACTCCTATGTTATGTTGCCTGTACCAGTGCAACAAAAGACCCATAAAATATTTAATAAGTGTTTATTGAATAACAAAGAATGAGGATACGAACTTGAATAAGATTCAGTCCATGTCCTTAGGGAACTAAGCTGAGTCAGAAAAGTAAAGGAGTGATGAGGATGCAGGGTTCAAAGTGTTATAATAGAGATATGGATCTGGTGCCAAAGGAGCCCAAAGGAGAGGCACTTACATCAAATCAATGAGCAGGGTCAGAAGGCATCCTTCCTTGAAGAGGTGGAATTTAAGCTGAAAGGTGAATTGGAGTTGTCCAAGAGAGGATGTGGGGTGCATTCCAGGCATAAGAATAGAAAACATTGTTTGATACACCTAGATAGAAGGTGTGAGAGTGATAAGGGGTAAAGTATCAGGGTTGGGAACTGAATAATTAAGGGATTTGGGTGCAAAATTGAGCAATTTGAACTTTATATCCTGAAAGCTTTTGGGGAAGGGAAGATCTTAGCACGTTTACACAGAAGAGTTTCACGATTACATTTGTGTTTTGGGAAGTTGCTCTCGTAAGTAGCATGGGAGATAGAATAGAGGGAGAGGCAGAGGGGATGCCCTGAGACCACTTAGGCTTTTCTCATAAGTGAGGAGGACCTAGGTAAGTCAGTGGGGTTGAAGAGTAGAGGAAGGATTTGAGAGCTATTAACGATTGGTGATTGAGGGTGCATGAGACGTTTGGACAAAAGGTGGCCCAAGTTTATGGTGTAGGCCAGTGTTCGTTACTGAGACAGCAAGCTCAGGAAAAGGAGCAGATAGGTGCAAAAATGCTATGTTTGGTTTGGGATATATTGAGGTAGATGGGAAGAGTGACTAGAGAGCAGCTCCATGGGTCTTTGCCTCACTGGTAGGGACTGGGGATGTTTTGGGTGTGAGAACAAGTAGATATGGGCACTACCAGAATGTCAGTGGTAGCATACGTGAGAATATAAAATAGAAAGTTAAACCCCATAAAAGGGAAGTATTTTGTCCCTGTCATCATACACACACCTGGCAAAGTGTCAGCAGTTTGAACCTAGGACTGTCTGGTTTACAAGCCTGAGGATGGGCTACTGTTTCATGCCAAAAACCGGCCTCTTTTTATTTATTTTTTGGTTATATTGCCTGCCAAAGGATAGATTATAGGTTAATTATTGGTTTTGTGATTTCTTTTTTCAAATAGTTGTATGCCATGGTCCAGGCATGATCCGGTATTGGTCCCCGCACTGTCCACCCTTGTCTTTCTATGCATTCTTATGCCACTCTTGGGTTAAGTTTTCTTAGTACAGCCTGGTCTGGAGATTATTGCTAGTTATTCTTAATAGTAACAGGTAGAATTTATGAGGATGGGGAAAGTGGTGCTTCCTTTCAGCACTGCTGCTTGTGATGTTTTTCTGGAAGACGTTAAGGGGAAAAATTTCCTGACTTTCATCCCTCTCATCTTAGCCCTGAGATATTGTTGCCAGTTGGTCTCCAGATAGAAAACCTGAATTTCAAGATAAGTTTGTGATCATGAAGTTAGCAAGCTTACCTCCCAGTTAACCCTCATCCCAAAAGAAGAGAACCTTTTAGCTGTTGGACAAATAGCAGCCCTGCTTGCCCAGTGATTGGCACAGAAAGGGCAGATAAGCAACTTGTGAGGTGCTTTTCCACAGTCTGACCTTGCCTGAGGCTAAATATGTGTATACCAGGTGGTGTGCATGAACACTGTAGACAAATATTCATGGTTGGATTTCTTTTATTCATACTTTTAAAAACTTATTTTTTTAGGCAACCTCCAGACTTCTAGTAAATTACCCAGAACCCTATCGTTCTCAGATACTGGATTATCTCTTTAAGGTAATGAAAAAATAATTGTTTCTTGATACCTGTGATATTTTAGAAACTGTAGGGTGAATTTCACCTATAATTTTTTAGCCTTAAAATTCTAGTTTTTGAAAAAATGGTGCATTACTTTTGGAATAAATGGCTATTTGAAGTTTTACTTTTGTTTTTGCGTCTGTAAAACGTAGGGCAGTAATTAGTAATTGTCTTGAAGCATCATACAATATAGCACTATGTTAATACTGTTAATTCTTTTCACAGCCGAATTTTGGTGCCTCTTTGCATATTCTAAAAGTGGAAATAGGTGGTGATGGGCAGACAACAGGTAGGAGAATTTGGGAGATAGGATTTCTCCCGTCAACATTTTAATCTATACCTCACCATATGGACTGTGATTTCAGAATATGTGTAAACAGTACCAATACTTTTGAGATTGATTGTTGCTTATTAGAGTGTTCCTCATTTTTAAACTGTAATTATTTTAAAATATTATGTAGAATATGGCCCATCTAAAACAACATTCAGACTTTAAATTGCTTATTTAGTTGAAGTAATCGGTAGTAAACAAATCCACAGTTTTCTAAAATCTATATATACAGGACAGAGCATAGGGACAGTTTTGAATTTTATTGAGAAGTTAGAAAGATTTTAATTTTATGTAGAGCATATAAAGTGCTATTAACTTAAAATATGTGATAAAAATGTATGTAACCAGTGTTTCAGAGATACAGCTTTTTTTTTCTTTTGAAAACAAAACTTTAATCACTAAATCTTCAGTCTTCATTGTCACTATTTTGATTGGCTTTGTGTAGTGCATGTTACCAATTGGCAGTTTATAGGCCTTTTGTTTTTCAGGAAGAAGAAAAAAATTCTCTGTGTGATTAGATATAGCTTATTGTTTATAGATCAGATTTCATTATAATGAACTCTAGTGTATCTCCTGCATACTTGTATTCCTGCTAGGGATTTGGAAGTAATTCTTTGTTGAACAGATATGTCTATGTGGTGGTATTAGTGTTTATGTTGAAATAAAAAGTACAAAGCAAAAACAAAAGAAACCCCCATAACAGAAACTTTCCCCAAGCTATTGCATTTTACTGTTAAAACCTTTTAGGCAGAATTGACAATGATGGGCTAATTTCACTTGCTGAAGCTAAATTAGAGGTAGAGGTACATAAACAGGCAGTGCTTGTGAATTCTGATGTTTACCTTTAAGAAGAAATGCGCAAGGGCCTCTCGGAAGGCCCAACTTAGCAGGGGCAGATATTTGTGAACTGTGGGAATATATGAGGACTTTAATAGCAGTTACCTACCTCGGTGCTAAGATATGTAACCTCTACTAACTGCAGATGTTAGTATAGAATTTGGTTATTCTTAGAGTGGAATTATTCCAATAATTCCAATAATTCCAATTTTTTTTTTTGTTTCTCAAAACTCTTCCTATATCAAGACATATTATAGGCTAAAGGTGTGGGTTCTGAAAACAGGGCTCAGGAGCCCAGGGATTCATATCCAGCATTGATAAGCTGAAAGTTGAGGTAATGAGAACTTAAAGTTGGACATGGGGATTTGAAAACCACAGAGAGATCAAAAGCCCAAAAGAATGAATACTGGGAATTTTTAGTTATATGAGGTGATAACTTTTCTCTCAGTACTGCTTATAATAGAAGGTTGTGGTTTTATTAAGACTTTTACAATGCTTAAGATAATGAAAAAAGGATGAAATAATGTGCTTTTATCATCCATCCTTAAATTGTATAAGATTACAATTTGCCCAACTTCAGGATTAGAACTGGAATACTGCTTTTGTGAAGTGGGTGTTGCGGGTGGGGGTGGGGAGTGAGATGGTCCTAGGGAGTACCATTCATGGATCATTACTTCCGTTTTTGCTCTCCTCTATTCAGATGGCACTGAGCCCTCCCACATGCACTATGCACTAGATGAGAATTATTTTCGAGGATATGAGTGGTGGTTAATGAAGGAAGCTAAGAAGAGGAATCCCAATATTACACTCATTGGTAAGAAATGAAGTTTGCAATGCTTCTTCAGTCTCTTTTCCTTTAACTTTTAAATTCTGGATCATGTTGGTGGAATCTCTATTAGTATGGAAGTGCTCATAATGTCGTTAATACTACCAGTATGCTACCAGCAGCAAAGCATGTGTCAGGGGTGATCGTTTCTTTGCCCTTATATGTTATGTTGAATCCTTATAATACCTGTGAAGTAAGGCATGATTCTTTCCATTTGGCAGGAAGAAGCAGTAGAGGCTTAGAAAGATTATGCCACTGACCTAAGGTCATAGACAGTTAGTAAATGGCAAAATCGGTTTTAGCACATAATTCCATGTTTCTATGATGCTAAACTACTTTTCTTCACAAAATCTGTCATCAGTATTCGTAAAAGGGTAATACTATTCACAAATCTGTCATCAGTATTCATAAAAGGGTAATACTATGCAGTAGTACACCTAACTAGTTACACAATTGTATATTACATGTAGTAGTAAACCCATTTTTAGAAAAGTTACATACAAAAGTGTTTTTTGTTTGTTTATTAGTTTTTGAACTTCAATAATGTGCTGGTTACTGTTCTACGGACTCAGGAAGCCAATCCCATCCCCATCCCTGCACCTGTGGAGCTTAGGTTCTATTGGAAGGATCATTGGCTAGTTGCTTCAATGGGACTATGTACATTTCACAGTTCTGTGAGAATGCGTACAGAGCCTGTGGAGTGTTTCAAACATCAGAGTGATGGGATACTTTCATCGCTTGAAATGAATTTGATTTTTTGAAACAGGCTTAAATTCAGACTAAGTTAAATGAAATTAATGATTCATTTTAAAGGCCCGATTTCTAGTTATTTAAAAAATAATTTTCTCAGCAATCAAATTAAAGGATAAGAGTAATATTTTCTAAGTTAAAAGAAATTAGGAGTAAGTATGTTCTTTATAAATGGGCTTTTGTAAGATTCCAGAAATGCTGTTTGCAGTAAAAACATCACTGAATTTAGCAAATATCCACTAGACTGCTTCCAAGGTCAGACCTCATTTAAATGTAGAAAATATGGCAGGCAAAACCATGTCCTAACAAAGACTTACACGTGGTAGGCCTTCAGATTGCATTTAGCATTTCATTGTTTTCAAGAATTCTATTACTTTAATGTCACATTTCTTATGTAATACACTTGGGTGTTCCTCCTGAGTTTAGAAAATAAGCATTTTGTCATTTTTATTTTTATTTTTTTCAGTGGTGAACTAGTTTGGTAATATATTTATTGCTGAGGAACTTAACTTTTGAGCTTATTTTAATATATTAGTAGCAATTTAAATTTAGCATTATAATATGTACTTTTCTACTCTTCTCAGTTTTTTACTTAAACATAATCAGGGTTATTGGAAGAATATGGACTTATTTGATGCATATCACTTAACAAGGGTATATTTCTCTATGGATTCGTTGTCATTTATATTGATATAAGAACAAACTAGTTTTGCTACATTACATTGCCTGACTGATTAATATTTTAAGGACCCTTAAATTATAAGAAGATGTACAAGTGAATGATAAATTTGTGTTATACATAACTCAAAGGAGTGAGTAGTTTGGAATAAGCCTTTTAGAATACTTTGGTTTGACCTCAAAGAACAGAAGTTGAATATTGAACATTCCAACAGTGAGTGGAAATGTTAAGTTAAAACATGTGGTACATTTCTTTCTATTGGTAAGGGTCTTGGATAGAGGTGTTTGTATTTGTTATTTTTCTTTTGCCTGGAAAGAACATTTGAAATTATGGGACCTGACTCTAGGGATCAATAAGGAATTATAGTGTCTATAGATTGGAAAGGATTTCAATAATTTTTATATGGTATATAAACTTTCCTTTAGTCAGATCTGTATTTGTTTTTGCAAGTTGAATGCTTTCCTTAAAAAAATTTTGTTTTATTTTCAATAGCGCCAGCACCATTATACCTCCTCTACCTTTGCCTCCTCCCTTCTCTCTGCAGGGTTGCCATGGTCATTCCCTGGATGGCTGGGAAAAGGTTTTGACTGGCCTTATGTCAATCTTCAGCTGACTGCCTATTATGTCGTGACCTGGATTGTGGGTGCCAAGCGTTATCATGATTTGGACATTGATTATATTGGAGTTAGTAATATATTTAAAATATGATTCAGTTTTGGACATTTATTTGTAATTTAAAATATAATTTGGTTCTAAGGTACTTTTTGACTAACCATTTTATGTCCTGAGACTAATTTATTCTACTGGTGTCTGATAATAACACAAGCTAAGTACATGTGACCTTTAATTGCTCCCCTTTGCCCATCCCAATGTTGCCACTTTTGCAAACTGTACTAAGTGTATACCTCCTTCCTCTGAGCTGGTTTTTTTTTGTTATCAACCCAACTCAAATTCTCCTTCAAAGCTTTCCCTACTTTCTCTGGTTCCTACAACAATGTTGTGTTTCCTAGACAGCTTATGGTTTAGTCTCATTTTATTCTATTGTTGTCTTAAGCCAAAGATTGGCAAACTTTTTAGTAAAGGGCCAGAGCATAGATAGTTTTGGGTTTGTGGGCCAAAAGGCAATATTGAGGATCTTGAGGTAAATATATAGCCATTTAAAATGTAACTATTTAAAACTAAAAGCACTTTTAGCTCTCAAGTTGTAAAATTACAGATGATGAGCCAGATTTGGCAGGCTGACTGAAATCTGTGTCCACCTGTCACAAACTGTTATTTAACACCTTAACACCTTTTAAGGATTTAAAAAGTATGGAAAATGGTATCATGTCCAGCTTGTCTGTTGGCTGGGTGGAGGCATGCCTCAGGCTGCATCATACCCCACAGAGCCTTAACATACACATACTGGGTCTCCATAATCAGTTGCTTATTAATATACCATCAGTTAAAACTAATACTTAAACATTTTCATGCAATCATGAGTTAGATTATCAGCAAACAATTATTGAGCTCCTACTGTGTTGCAGGAACTGTGACTGTAATATTTTAGGGCTACTAAGATTAATAAGCTCTTGTATTCAGTAAGAGAAGTAGACACTGGAACATATTAACTGCAATACTACATGGTGATACAGGGCATGAGGATGAGCCAAGGGCTGGAGGAAGTCAGAAGAAATGGTATACTAGTTTTTGCTATCCTTTTCCAAATTATGACTGAAAATTAGTTTATATTTGAGAACTTTCCTCTTTTTTTTTTGGCACTGTTGCCCGGACTGGAGTGCAGTGTTGTGATCTCGGCTCGCTGCAGCCTCTGCCTCCTGGATTCAAGTGATTCTCCTGCCTCAAGTAGCTGGGATTACAGGCACCCGCCACCATGCCCAGCTATTTTTCTTTTCTTTTTATTAGAGACGGGGTTTCACTATGTTGGCCAGGCTGGTCTCAAACTCCTGACCTCGTGATCCGCCCACCTCAGCCTCCCAAAATGCTGGGATTACAGGAATGAGCAACCACACCTGGCCGGAGAACTTTCTTAAATGTCGGGACATTTATAACCAATAATGAGACTAAATGTAGGTTTGGTCTAATAGCTTTCTCTTATGGTACAATCACAAGTAATGGGTAATTCACATCTTGTTTAGACTCATGATAACACATGCTATGTTGAGGAGTTTCATTGATAAACTCTTTCCTGTATCGTTGGAGTAAAAAGAGCTGCACCTGGATTCTAGAATCATCTCTTGTTATTAACAGTTTTCTCAACTGTGGAGTTACGGAAGTTCTTTCAATTCTAAAACCCCAGGCTTCATGACTCTAAACCTAATAGATGTATATATTTCCTTTTATCCATCCTCATTCAGAGTTTGCTTTTGTGACTAGCATATTACTGTGATTCTCTGTGTATGCTTAAAAATATGCCTTCTATACAGTATACATATTAATACTTGGCTTTCAGGTGTGCCTATAGGGATCTTGTCATAATTGTTGTAACAGTTTCCATATCTATTTGTTCTCCAATGCCTAGTATAGTCTTTGGCACACATTGCACTGTCAACATGTGTTGAATGAATTAATGAATATTCCATTGTTGAAAATCTTTGGAATAAATTACTTTTTGAAAAATACCCACGAAATATTTTAAAGTTTTTAAAAATAATATTTTAATTTTTAAAAAGTTATGCTGTCTTACAAGTATCTATAAATTCTATGGCAGGATATCCCATAAAGTGAAAAAAATGGCTTATCAGATAATATGAAAGATGATGAGAGAAATGGTATCTTAATGATAATCTACTTTCTGACATTCCATAACTTTCAATTCATACTTTTTTGACTTTTTGTTTTGCAGATTTGGAATGAGAGGTCATATAATGCCAATTATATTAAGGTGTGTACAACTTTAGTATCTTTCTGTCTCTAACATTTTAGTGAATAATTCCTTGTAGTTCCAGACACAGAAATTAGTAGGAAATTTGTGTTGGAAACACCATATTTTTTATACTACAGTTATTTATTTTGCTGGTTGTGACATAAAATTCAAGCAAAATCTTAACAATGTTTATATTCCTGATATTAAAGCATGTATAATTCTTTGTGAGTCCTTAATTACCTTTGTCTAAAGAATTGTGTTGAATTTTTCTATTTTAAAACTCATTAGTTTTGGAATTCTGATAAATTTTATGAAACAATTATATCATTTTAGACTTTTGGGACTTCAAGAAATGTAACAGTTTTTTGTCTTTTATCAAAATTTATGGCATATATTCTAATTCTTGTTTTCTATTGGAGTGTGTTTTAGTACATGTTTCTCTTTGTGATTAGCAAAGAGGTGGCAATAACATCTGCCAATTGTGTTATTTTTGGGGCACTTTTCCTAACTATTTATCTCCATTTAATTCTCACATCCTTACCTATGAGGTAACTACTATAATTGTTATTTTCCAGGAAAGGAAAAACAGAATAATAACTTCTGCCATTGGAAATAAATGACGGTTTTACTTTTCAGATGGAGCTATTCTCTAGTTTACTTTTCACTTCCTTTTGTCTTGTTATATGTATCTTTTCTCCAAGAAATATAATTTTGGGACAATATTTTATTTCATGTTTTAAAAAATTTTTATATTAAAAAAATTTTGTTTTTATTTCCATAGGTCTTTGGAGACTAGGTGGTATTTGGTTACATGAGTAATTTCCTTAGTGGTTATTTTTGAGATTTTGGTGCACCCATCACTGGAGCAGTATACACTGAACCAAATTTGTAGTCTTTTATCCCTCACCTCCTTCCCATCCTTTACCCCTGAGTCCCTAAAATTCATTTTATCATTCTTATGCCTTTGCATCCTCATAACTTAGCTCCCACTTATGAGTGAGAACATACGATGTTTGGTTTTCCATTCCTGAGTTGCTTGTCTTAGAATAATAGTCTCCAATCCCATCCATCTTGCTGCAGATGCCATTAATGCATTGCTTTTTGTGACCCAGTAGTATTCCACTGTATACATATACGGCAGTTTCTTTATCCACTCATTGATTGATGGGCATTTGGGGCTAGTTCCAAATTTTCACAAATCCATCAGTCCTGCTACTGGGTATCTACCCAGAGGAAAAGAAGTCATTATACAAAAAAGATCCTTGCACATGCGTGTTTATAGAAAAAAATTTATTTAAATTGGGTGTTTTATGTTCTTAAGTAGATAAGGTTCAATACATTTCTTTCATATCTTCATTCAGTTAATCATAGAGCATTTATTTGCTCAACACTAGTTTGTCAGTCATTGTGCATATGGTTGTAATATAAGGATAGAGAATGTGGTTTTCTGCCCAAAAGGATTTTTTGTATTGGGGAGGGTGGTATAGAGTCAGATATACACCTACAGGTCTTAGAAGGCACACAGAGGAGATGACAACTCTGCCAGGGTTGATTGGGAAGTCTTTTAGAGGAGGTGATGTGTAATTTGAATGTTCAAGAAGGGATGGATGGGAACTCTCCACGTTGCTAAGGAGGGGCATAGCATGTGCAAAGAACTGAAGATTGAGAGGTAAAGGGATATGGGAGAAAAACAAGTCATGAAAGATGGTTTAATCAATGGAGGAAGAGTGGGGGCACTGACCTCCATCAGTAAGCTGAAGTATTCACTGCAATAATGGCTTTTTTTTTTTGAGACGGAGTCTCACTCTGTCACCCAGGCTGGAGTGCAATGGCGCCATCTTGGCTCACTGCAACCTCTGCCTCCTGGGTTCAAGCAATTCTCTGCCTCAGCCTGCTGAGTAGCTGGGATTACAGGCACCTGGCACCACTCCTGGCTAATTTTTTTTTGTATTTTTAGTAGAGATGGGAATTCACCATCTTGGCCAGGCTGGTCTTGAATTCCTGACCTTGTGATCCACCCGCCTCGGCCTCCCAAAGTGCTGTGATTACAGGCATGAGCCACCGCACCCAGCCAGTAATGGCATATTTTAATTAATCTGTAGTTGTAGGGGTGGAGAGGGCATAGATTGAGAAGATCTATTGCAGCCAGAACTAGGTAACTCAAGGTCAATTCCAGGCTGAAGTATGCTGGTGAGAGTCTGCTGGTAGGAGCAGAATGGGTTGGGGAGGTGGGTCAGTGGAGCTATTAATAAGATTGGAGCACAGGGATTGTAAGTGGAAAGTCATGTCTGCTATGAGCACAGGTCTGATAAGAGCAGTAAGTGGACAGAGCAGAAGCCAAGTTGGTGCATGTATAGTGGATAACTCTGTAATCAGGTGGATGGCATTGCTACAGTATCTTCATAGTGAAAGGTGATGAAATTTTTAAATACCCAAATTTGACATTTCAAAGCTTATGTTTTATTTCTTGTGATTATACATGTGTCTCTCTTGTGTTCATTTGAAGGAAGCATTAAAAGTATTAGTTTCCATTTTCTTTTAAACTAATGAAATAAGCCAGGGCTATATTTTATTTTATTTTAACTTTTTTACTATTAAGAGTCTGTTGCTGACTTCAGTGCATTCTAATTCAACTAACCTGGTTTGAAAGACTAATTGTTGCTCTAAGACACATTTTCAGTGTTTCAGACAGTTCAGACTTCATTTCCTTTTCTCTGAACCTTTAGTTTTCGTGCAGTAAAATCTCTCAGGATTCAAAAACTTTTTACTTTGTGTTTGCCATTTTTTTCCAGCAAGATTTTATTGAGATCTGTGTTGCGTTTGTTGAAATGCCTATTGCAGACCAGGTGCAGTGGCTCACGCCTGTACTCCCAGCACTTTGGGAGGCTGAGGTGGCTGGATCACCTGAGGTCAGGAGTGTGAGACCAGCCTGACCAACATGGTGGTGAAACCCTGTTTCCACTAAAAATTCAAAAAAAATCAGCCGGACGTGGTGGCAGATGCTTGTAATCCCAGCTACTTGGGAGGCTGAGGCAGAAAAATCGCTTGAACCTGGGTGGCAGAGGTTTCAGTGAGCTGAGATCGCGGCATTGCACTCCAGCCAGGGCAAAAAGAGCGAGACTCTGTCTAAAAAAAAAAAGAAATGCCTATCACAAAGAGTTCAATAATGACAGATGAATGTAGGTGCTCGGATTGGATAATTTTAATGAATATACATCCTTTTTGGGATAATAAGACGACCCCTGGAAAGAATAAAGATTTGTTTTTTTTTTTTTTTTTCTTTTTTTTTTTTTTTTTTGAGATGGAGGCTTGCTCAGTCACCCAGGCTGGAGTGTGGTGGCGCGATCTGGGCTCACTGCAAGCTCCGCCCATTTGTTTTTAATAGCAGAAATAAATATAATACAAAGGAGCAATTTATATAAAGATGACAAGGGTATTGTTTCTTTAAAGTTTTTTTTTTTTTTTTTTTTGCTACTGATATTCATGATTTATCGTGGTTTTCAGTGGTGTTCTTAAGTTTTCTAAATTGTGTCTGGAAAATCTCATCTAGGATCTGAGGATAGTGGATGGAAATGGAAGTATGGGTCTTTGGACCTTCATTCAGTTCAACCAGAACAAATTCCTTTCCATTTATCTTGTAGAGCTCCTATTTAAGCTTTTTCTGAAGGAGAAAGTTCCAAAACAAAAACATAATCTGAAAATATGTTAGGTAAAACTGCTCAAAAGAATGCTGCTATTCATAATGACTTTGGGATGGAAACTTATTTAGAAATCATAGCATGAGACTTGAAATTTTGGAATGTTATTCAAATACACTGTATAAAAAAGTAAGCAGTCTTACTGGGATTTTCTAGGACTAGGACTAGAAAGACTAGATCCATCCATAGTGAAAAATGCAAATTTGACTAAGTTGCTCTTCCTCTTCGCTGTAAGAAGAAAGAGGCCGGGCTCAGTGGCTCACGCCTGTAATGCCAGCACTTTGGGAGGCCAAGGCGGGCGGATCACCTGGGGTCGGGAGTTCGAGACCAGCCTGACCAACATGGAGAAACCCCATCTCTACTAAAAATACAAAATTAGCCAGGCACGGTGCCTGGCTGGGATTCTAGCTACTCAAGAGGCTGAGGCAGGAGGATTGCTGATCCTGGGAGGCAGAGGTTGCAGTGAGCCAAGATCGCGCCATCATACTCCAGCCTGGGCAACAAGAGCGAAACTCCATCTCAAAAAAAAAGGAGAACTTCAGGGTGATGAAATTCAGGATTGATCTCCTGCTAGAGGGATAGGGATTCTCAATCCTACTGAATCTTGAGAGTTGGTCTTGGTTTGCTATGAAGGATCTGTTCATGCTGCTTCTAGGGTGTCCTAGGACTCAACTGATCTGGTTTGAAAGATGAAATTAGATTGCCACCTCTAATTTTCACCACGTTTTCTAAAATCCTGTAATATATCTGTTTTAAGAAACCATCTGTTGAAAAGTATACCATGGATTTAATTGGAGCTTTTATTATTTGCGTCCTAAAAGAGCACATTAATTGGAAATTCCCCTAGTTCAGAGAAGTTGCAATGTGAAGAGAGGGCTTGTGAAATTCTTTGTTCTTTCTTAATTTCTTCAGCCAGTAGTATTGGGCATCTGCTGCAATGTGCCAGAGATTTCTGAGTCCTTGGGGGTATAATGGTGGGTTTATTTGTATCCATTCATAAAGAACTGCTTATGGTATGAAATCTGATCTTCCTGATCCTGAGTAAAATGATGTCTCCTTTTCTCTGCTCTTGATTTACATATAGGCAATCCATACGTTTTGGTATGTTACCTTCCCTTTGATTTTCTAGTATGCCCTGTTAATGTTGGTGTCCCTGTCGAGTGTGTTTGCCACCTAAGGGTGAGGACTCCATCTCATACTTCTTTTAGAGTCTTCATGGGGTCCAAGTATTGAGTACTAAAATAGGTGCTGTTTGTTTCATTTATTTCCCATTAGAATTTATCTTGTTACTTTTAATTTTGTGGCTGGACGGTCCTACAGGTAAATTTTATGTCCTCTCCTGTTTAATAATGGCAGAATATTTGAAGACATTGGAAAATACTTAAAATGATAAGTTAAAGCATTTTGCCAAATGGTATAATTAATATGTTACCCATTTTATTATTGTGTCTGCATGGGAAACTTCCTGGAAGAATGCATAGCAAAAGAATAGTGGTTATTTCAGGGTAGTACTACTTGATTATTTTTGTTTCTTTTCCCCCACATATTTCTATGGTTAAATGTAATTTTAAAGTTAAAGTGAGAATCCTCTAAAACGTTTTACCCCTGTGTTTTTTTTCTTTTTACATTCCTAGTGAAGTAGGTTATCTTAATGGTAATGCTTTTATTTTCCGTAGGAGGCATGTTTCTATTGAGAAAATTATAGTATTGAAATGATCATCCATGAGGTCAGGAGTTCAAGAGCAACCTGGCCAACATGGTGAAACTTTGTCTCTGCTAAAAAATACCAAAATTAGCTGGGTATGGTGGCACATGCCTGTAATCCCTGCTACTCAGGAGGCTGAGGCAGGAGAATCATTGGAGCCTGAGAGACAGAGGTTGCAGTGAGCCGAGATCCTGCCACTCCAGCCTGGGCGACAGAGTGAGCCTCTGTCTGAGAAAAACAACAACAACAACAACAAAAAAGCTATTATCCAGAATGCTGATTTGTAAAGATATTTTATCTATCTTGGTCATAAATTCAACAGCTAAAAATTCGTTTGTATCCTTTCATATTTTCTGTTTATTACTCCAAAAGATATTAAGAAAAATGCTGAACTCTCAAGGACTCCAGCGAGTGAAAATCATAGCAAGTGATAATCTCTGGGAGTCCATCTCTGCGGCCATGCTACTTGATGCCGAACTCTTCAAGGTGGTTGATGTTATAGGGTAAGGCATGTTTTACTTGGAAAACTAACAGTTTCTGATTGCTTGCCCTGTGTATTGACTGTTTCTTGCCTTCTCCCCATTTGATTACATTCTCAGAAGGTAGCTGTCCTGTATTTACTTATCTGAAGCGTGCATGGTTCATGGTTCATTACTTTCTCTTTTAAATGTATTTTAGGATCTTTCTGTGACAAACATGTATTGATAACTTTTAAAAAACATACTGATGTTTGGGATCATAAAACAGAGCTTTGTTTTAGATTAAGGGGCAGAGTAATACCTGTATTTAATTTTAGAAATTATAAAGGCAAAGTCATGAAATTAATTTCTAACTCTCAGATATTTTGTGGCTGGAAGTTCTTGCATGAGCACTTTTGTTTGTAAGTGGTTCATTATGGTCACTGACAATAACTTTTGTCATGCCTCCTTAGTAGTATAGTTTTGAACCCTACTTTTTATTCCATTTCTGCCTTTTAGCCCTCTGGGCCCTGACCTCATTGAGTTCATTTTTTTAAAAAAGTGAATTTACGTTTTTCCTACTGTGCCACAGGATATAAACATTTGAAAAATAGAATGTGTGTGTGTGTGTGTGTGTGTATGTATGTATGTGTGTAGATTCTGTTCTTTATCCAGTGTGAACACTGATTGATCTCTCCATGTGCTTTATTTTTTCAATGAAGAATTTTGAATGTCCACAAAAATAGGCAGAATGATACAGTGAATATCTTTGTTCTTACCACTCAGCCTCCTGAACTGTGAACCCATGGCCAATTCTTCATCCATGCGTCTATCTACTCCTCTTCCCTTCCTGCCTACATTACTTTGAAAGAAATCCCAGACATTATTTCTTCCATAAAAATATTACTGTATGTCTCCAAAGATAAGGATTATTTTTCTACTTACCATAAACAATACCATTATTATACCTAAAATATAATAGTTTTTTATATTAAATATCCATTATTATTATTTTATAGTTTTATTTGATTGAATCTGGATCCATTTAAAATTCATACCTTGTGATTGGTTGATATGTAAATCTGTTCTAATCTTTAGGTTCTTGCTCTTCTTTCTGTTTAATATGTTGAAGAATAGGGTTGTTTGTCTTACAAACTTTGTGTCAGTCTGGATTTTACTGATTTCACCTCTGCAGTTTAATAACTTGCTCATCTCTCCTTTTTCAGTGGTTTTTGAAATTGGTGAAGGTGTGATTAGGTTAGATTTAGGCTTAATTTTTTTTTTTGCAAGATAAATAAAATTTCTTCATTATATTTAAACATTTTATACATTGAAATTAAGATTAAAGTTTTGCTGTTCTTAAAGCTTTCATAAATAGTTGAAGTCTTGAAGGAAAACAAAGTTGTGCTTATCTAAATGTATTTTCTTAATATTAAATGAAAGTATGGGTTTTACTGTATCTTCATGAAGGACTTGGATATGTACTTCATTTTTTATTGATATAGGTATTTTAATATAATGAATTTTCCTCTGAGTACTGCCTTAGTTTTATCTCGTAGGGCTGTTTTATCATTAATTTCTAATTTTATTGCATTGTGGCCATTTAATACCAAATGTATTATTTACAATTTTGGGGGAAATTTCTCAGGAGCTTATTTTTAAAAATCTGAAAAAAACCTTCGCATTTTTCTTGACTATCTCAAGAGCATATTTTGACTTATTAAGATGTATTCTTTATTAGGATGCAGAATTGAGTTTATAACATCTACCTTTTTGATTATATTGTTCAGGTGTTTGGATCTTAACTATTTCGTCCACTTGAACTGTTCAGGGCTACCAGGTGTATTTGTTTCCTTGTGTTAGGTCTGTTTCTCCTTTCAATCTTAGGCAGTTTTTGCTGTGTGGAAGCTTCTGCTTTGTTGTTTGGTGCATAAATACTGATGAATGTTTTATCTTCATTATGATTTATTTCTTATCATTGGAAAATGCCATTCTTTGTCTCGTTTAAAGCTTCTTGGCCTGAATTCTGCTTTCTGTGTGTTTAAGAGATCCCTGCTTTCTTTCCATTAGGATTTGCTTAATATATTTTTGCCCTTTTATTCTTTACCTTTCAAGGCCATTTTCTTTTATGTGCATTGCTTGCAAATACCATAGAGTTAGATTTTGCTTTTTTAAAGCTCCTCTGAAAATCTTTATATTTTAATCAATGAGTTAAACTCATTTTTAAATATAACTAATGTTTGTGTTTTCTATGCTATTATATTATCTTTTGTTATTGAATAATTTATACTATCCGTGTACTAATACAAGCTATTCTGCTATGTGATTTGTTTACTTTGCACTTATTTAAGGAGGTGCTTCTTTTGTTATTTAGCAAGTTTTGTTTTTTGTTCTATCAATTATATTTATGCTGACTTATACAAGTATTTTCAACTGAGAATAATTTTTCCTCCCAGGGGACATTTGGTAATGCCTGGAAATATTTTTAATTGCCACAAATAGGTAGGGTGGTGCCACTGGAATCCAATGGATGGAGGCCACGGATGTTTCTAAATATCCTTTAGTACACTGGATAGTTTTCCCATAACACAAAATGATCCAGCCCAAAATATTAATAGTGCCGAGGTTGAGGAACTGCTTCATACTAATACTCGTGGTTTCCTCTTCATTTAGTTATTGTCCATTGGTTTACTATGAGCAATACTACAATTATTTGATAACTTCTTCCTCCCCTTTTCTCCCCTACCATGGAATTTTAATTACTAGAATTATCTTAGTTTTAATTTTTGTGCTCTTAAATAAACTTACACGAACTTAAGCTTCTACTATATTGATTTGACAGCTACAAGTTTTAACTGTTTACTCCCAGATAATCTGCAAACTTAGTTTACATTTCACCTTCTTTCCCTCTTATCCTATTTCATGTAGCTATATGAGTTGTACTTTAGCCAAGTGTGTAATATTTATATATAATTTAATTACTATTTCTTTTAATCTAGCTCTACCATTAAACATATTAAATACTCACCTTCAAGTCTTTTGCCGAAGTTTCTCCCTCAGTTTCTTGGATGTCAGAAGGGTAATTATCTATTAAATGTCTCAGAAAGTGCTAATGGAAATAATATTTCTTGATGTGTTTAGATGTTTATTGATGTTTATCTATGACCTTTATACCTGAAGGACAGTTTGACTAGATATAATCCTTTTTCAGTCCTTGAGTATCATAAAATTTGCTCCATTGGTTATTTACGTAAAATGTTGCTATTGAGAATTTCGACTCCAGAGATATTTCCTTTTCCTTATAAGTATCTCGACACAATTCCTTTATGCCCAAAGAATATTTTTATTCATCTTTAAAGTTTAGTTGTTGTATATACTTTACCATTTCCAGATATATAGTGTATGCTCTCTTAATGTCTATATTTAAGTATTTTCTTAGTAAGGTTTACTTAAGTTATAAGCTAAATCATTATTCCACTCCATTACTTTGGTTTTCTTTTTTGATGCCCCAGTTATACATCTTGCTCTTATTTGCATAGCCTTTATTTTGTATTTCTCTGAATTTTTCTCTACCTCTTTATTTATGTTTTCTATTATTTTATCCTTACTATTCTATATTCCTTACTGTGTTTTCCACAGTGTCTGTTCTAATATTCCTTCTAGTTTAGCCTTCATTTCTAAAATGTATTTTTAAAAATAATTCTTCTATAATTCTCTCATTTTAATTTCCTATGTCGCTAACAATTCATCTTTAAAAAATGTTTAATTGAAGTATAGCATACAAACATACATACATAAAAGTACAAAAATCATTGGATTATAGCTTAATGAATTATCACAAAGTGAACGTACCTATGTAACCACTACCCAGAAAATTATCAGTGCCCAAGAAGCTTGGTTATTGATACCTCCTCTTGGAAAGATTTTTCCTTGGAAATCTTTCTAATCATTAACCTCTGTTTTTGCCTTAAAGATAACTACTAATCTGACCTCTAACACCATGGACTAATTTTGCTGGTTTAAAAACTTTATTTAAATGGCATCTTATAGTAGCTGTTATTTTAGTCAATATTATATAAATGAGATGAATGCATGTTGTTATATATAGAGGTAGTTCATATTTATTGTTTAGCATCCAATTGTTGGATGCTAAGTGTAGTATACCACAACTTATCTGTGTGTTATTTTTTTAATGGTCATTTAGACTGTTTCCAATTTTTAGCTGTTGGAATTTTGTTCAGGAGATATTTCTTGGCTCACATCTTCATAGGAAGACTATTCCTTCCTGCCTCATTCATGTTGTACTTGGCCTGTGCTATATCTGAAGATTTTTGTTTTACAGTTACAGTACTTTCTAGAGTCTGTTTCTGCTGGGCCCCATTCTTACTGACTGAAAGTTGTTCTCCTTTACACGAAGTGTTCCTGCCTTGTTCAACTTGGATTCTACTTCAAACAGCTTATTTTCATGTTGAAGCTCTGTCATTCCTGATTATTTGCTACCTTCTCCTGAAATTGTTATTGCTTAAACCTGTGTTGTTCAATACAGTAGCCGCTAGACACATATGTTTAGGAAGCACTTGAAATGTGGCTAGTTTGAGTTTAGGTGTGTTATAAGTATAAAATACACACTGGGTTTTGAAAATTGAATATAAAAATATTATTTACAATTGTTTTACACTGATTACATGTTACATGATAATATTTTGGGTATATTGGGTTAAATATATCATTAAAATTATGTTCTCCGTGTTTTTCTGCTTTGTAAATTAAATTAAATTTTTTTCATTTATGTGTTTTATTGTGGTAAAGACCTTTGCTGGTTTTTAATGTGGCTGCTAGACAATTTAAATTTATAATGTATGTGTAGTTCATATTACATTTCTACTGGACAAATCTAGTTTGAACTCTTACGGTATTGGGTTTGATCTCCTAGTGAATTCACTGTTTTGAGCATTCTCTCCTAACTTCAAACCTGTGAAGATGTTCCCATCTTCCTGAGTCGGTCTTCTATTCTTCCATTTAGGATAGGGTCTACTCCTTTTGTGTGAGTACCAGCCATTCCCCTTTCACTTCCAGTTTCCATATACCATCTGCTGATCCTGGGCCATTTCTGATGTTGTGAGGCTCCGGGGAGAGTCCCTGTCACCTGGTTTGATGGCAGTGTTATCTGTTTTTCCTTTCCCTTATCTGGTTGGTCTGTTTGGTTTCAGAAGGAGTACTGAGGAGCTTCAGGAACTGGGCTGCTGTCATGTTCTGCCTTGGCCAAAAATTCTAATTTTTTAAAGTACAAATATGTTCCTCTGTTAGGATAAACCATGAAGTTGGTTTACTTTCAATGATCTTAATTTTGTCTGTAATTGAAGTTTGAAAAATAATGCTTTGAAATGATAGAGAATGTTTGCCTCCTTATGTACATTAAAAATTTATATTCTTAAAGAACCTTTACATTTTGTTGCACTAGGAATAAATATATACATAGAGAAAGACCCAGATCTTAGTATTAGTTCTGCCTTTCTTTGCTCAGATCATGTAATAAATCATTTGGGTTTTGAATGTAGTAACAGTTTCATTTTCTGAATGAAGGATATACCACCTATTCCTGTAACTTCAGTAAAGTTACTTTTTCATTTTATAAATACAATATGCTCATTATAGAAACTTTGGAAAATGTAGAAAAGTATAAAGATAGAATTTACTCATAATCCTAACATCTATAGCTTATTGGTAACATGTTAGCATATTACTTTCCAGGGTTTTCTTTAATATAGAAATATATTTTAACCAAATACACCAAACATGCATTTGGCAACTAGACAACTGGATGACAACTAGATGAGTATTAAAAATTAACATTTGGCTGAGGTAACAAAGCTGAATTTCATGGAAACAGAATGAAGTTGTGGGATAGAAGAGTAAATCTAAAAATGTAGTTTTTTGAATTTATGTTAGTTAAAAGACTAGTAGCCAGATTTTTCAGGTTGGGTGTTATAGTGCCAGAACAATGATTGCTTAACCCTGTTAGATGCTAGATTTCTGTTGGTATCTTCGTAGTGTAGTTTTGCAATATTGAATAGGTGCCTGCTTTCACTTGAGTTCAGTGACTCAGTAAAATCTTAGTGGAACCTCGTTTTTGTCTAATACTTCTTTTTATGTTCTCCCTTATATATTGTATATTATTTTCTTACTCATGAAATCCTGGAATGCCAAATTGATATTGTGCCCTAATTCATCTTCACTAGGTATAAAGAATTACCAAATAGGATTTTTTTCCTAAAAGATTTGTGACCTAAAATGGAATTAAATAACTAAAAAATAACACAAGTATTCACAATCATTTTTTTTGATGTTATAAATACTACTATACCAAACTACAAAGATTAGAATTGTGGTATAACTTAATCTCCATTATTTTGCTTGTATTATTTTTTTGTAAATAATTGTTAAACTAAAAGGTAGATGCCCTTATTCCTACAGTTATTTAGCTAGTGTGCTCTCTTATTGGATTGCCAATCTATTTTCCTTTTTTTTTTTTTTTTTTGAGGCGGAGTTTTACTCTTGTTGCCCAGGCTGGAGTGCAATGGCACGATCTCCGCTCACCGCAACCTCTGCCTCCCAGGTTCAAGCAGTTCTCCTGCCTCAGCCTCCCTAGTAGCTGGGATTATAGGCATGTGCCACCAGGCCCAGCTAATTTTGTATTTTTAGTAGAGACGGGGTTTCCCATGTTAGTCAGGCTGGTCTCGAACTCCCGACCTCAGGTGATCCGCCCGCCTCGGCCTCCCAAAGTGCTGGGATTACAGGCGTGAGCCACTGCGCCCAGCCGCCAATCTATTTTCTATTTAAAATTTATTAATTGTCTTTATTCTTATAATCAGTACTTCCACAGTCGTCATTATGGGAGTATTTTACTTTTGCAGTAATGAATATGCATTTATACTTCCACTGACTGACTCCCCTCCCATCGAATGATAGGATGAAGGAGGCATTCATTTTCTGGGGCAGTTTCTCACCTGCTGCACAATTGATATTTTTAATGGCCAATTTTTTTGTTGTAGGGGTTGGTCCTATGCATTGTAGGATGTTTAGCAGCATTTTTGGCCTCTCTTCACTAGATGCCAGTAGCAAATATCCTCGACCCCGGGTGAGACAGTTGAAAAAATGTCTCCATATAGTGCCAAATATTCCCTCCACGGACAAAAATCATCTGGGTTGAGAACCACCTCTGCTCTGATACAGTAATTTCTAGTTTTCCCAAGGTAGTTTATTCTTTTTATTCAAGAAATAACCATTTGTGGGTATTGTTTTTTGTTTTGTTTTGTTTTGTTTTTGGCCTGGGAGTAAATGCCAAGCTATCTTTCTGTGTTCTAAGGACAGGAGTAGAGGGGAGAGTACTACTTTATATAAAGGTTTCATTAATCTTATTTTTGGCCTCCTCCTCACTCATTTACTATTGCCCCAAGCTCCTTAGCTTCCCCTGGGAAGTCTGAATCTTATCTTTACTTCATTCTCCTCTTGGGGTATTCTAGGCTGTGGCCCTCTCTGCTACCTCCATCCTTCAACATGCTTCCATCCATTTTGTGAGTTCCAGAAATAGACTGAAATTTTCTATCTATTGATGATTTTCCTTCCTATCCAGTATGCTGTTGTAGGTTTATCCCCTTTTGTTTTATTTGCTGTCATTTTAATGGCATGCTGAGACAGAAGGGCGTAAAGCAGATGCTTACATTCATTATCTACCTAGAAGCTACCCAACTGTTTTAAAATAGAAAACCTTGGAGAAGACTTGTGTTTTTATACACTCAACAAATATATATGTATATAAGTGCCACATTGTGACCTTTTGTCATTGACTCCCACCCTTTTTTTTTCCTAGGGCTCATTATCCTGGAACCCATTCAGTAAGAGATGCAAGGTTGACTGGGAAGAAGCTTTGGTCTTCTGAAGACTTTAGCACTTTAAATAGTGACACGGGTGCAGGCTGCTGGGGTCGCATTTTAAATCAGAATTATGTCAATGGCTATATGACTTCGTAAGTTATTAAAAACCTTTTAGAGTTTTTATCATAAAAAAATTTAAAACAGAAGAGTTAGAAAAAAGTGGACTTCCTTATTCTTCCAGCCTAGATTCAATGATTGTAAACATTTTGCCTTATTAGCATCTTCTATTTTTATACCTATACTTAATCTACATCTAATTTTCTATATTTGAGCATGGTCTATATGAAATAAAGTCTGGTTTATTGAGGTAATTTATATGTAGCAAAATACATGCAGCTGTCTGATTTTTGACAAGCTACATATATTTTTAATAATTATATGGTAAATAGTGTATGTAAGGACACTTTATCTCTAAATATTTTAGCATGTGTCTCCAAAACATAAGGATATTCTTCTACATATCACAGTATCATTTTTTCATACATGAGAGTGTTTTTAATACTCAGTCTATATTCAAATTTTCCCAATTGTTCCCCCAGAATGTTATTTGTAGCTTTTTTTTAAGAAAAGGAATAGTCAAACACACACATATTGCATTTAAAAGTTACGCCCCTCAAGTCTCCTGTAATCTAGAGTAGCTTCCTTATTCCTCATTTTTGATGACAGGGATCTGTTGAAAAGACCAGGCTGATTGTCTTGTGGACTGTCTGCTTCCCAGCCTGTCTGATTGATTCCTCATGGCATCACTTAATGTGTGTAATCTGTTGTTTAAAAACAGATGTTCTTAAGGGAGAACACAACTTTTTCTGTTCTTAAGGGAACCATTTCTTAAATGCTTTGAAAAACACTTTAATTGTGAATAGATTGCCATTAGTTTTCTAAACAATGAACCACATTTTGTTTTTAAATTTTGTTCTTTTTTGTTCTGAAAAATAGAACAAAAGCAAACCAATATTTATATATTTATTGTGATATTAATGTGGGTTGCTATATATTGTATTTGTTTTTCTTCTCTTTGTGAAAGAAAAGATACTTAAGGAAAGTTTGGTTATAACTTAATTTGGTCTTAAGGTAAGGCATGTTCATGGCAGAGAATTTAGAAAACTGAAGATAGGTACAAAGAAAGAAGCAAAATCACCTACAGTCTTATGATCCAGAGCTAACTATCCTTAATAATTTTAGTGAATGTCCTCCTATTTTATATTGGCATGTATACATTTTTAATACAAAATTGAGACCATACTATAGAATCTGTTTAAAAAACTGCTTTTCACTTGACATGACATTAGGAACTTTTTCTCACATTTACCTATATTTCTACTTCATCATTTTTAATACTATAAATGCATTTAAAAATATTCTGTTACATAAAGCACCATCTCCCAAACTTGTCTTAAGAAGCACCTGAGACACTTGTTGTTATACCTTCTCCTTGGCAGCTGCCCAGACATTGTGAATGAGAATCTACAGGGAAGGCTTCTGGGGTTTTGTCCATCTAGTCAGTGCCCCCAAGTGATTCTGATGCCACACAAGTTCGGAAACACTGATGTGGAAAATATATTATTCCTTATTGAATGTTCTCCTCTTTTTAGAATTGGAAGTTGTCTCTGTTTTAATTAATAACTTTGTACAAACTGAAATGATCAATTGTATACCAATATCTTTGTACATACCGATGACTATTTTTTAGGCTGTATTCTTAGAAATGGAATGGTCAGAGATATATAGATTTTGAAGGGTTTTGTATGTATTTTACAAAATGCCCTCCAGAAAGCTTGTCTTGAGTGATACATCTATCACTAGCCAGAAAGGATACCACGCATCTTGCAAACCATGGGCAAAATTACAAGAACTTAAAATATTCACTAATAGTAAGGTGTTTTGAAAATTAGGACTATTATTTCTACTTTGTATTGATAGAATTAGAAGGCTTTCATTTGCTAAGAATGTCAGTCTGTTTTTTAATGCTGGATGAGGACTTGATAAAAAAAGTAAAATTCTGTGGGTAAGCTCTGTGCTTTTTTAATCTGTGAGAGACTCAACAATACCAAGTTCAAGAACTTCCATTTTGCCTTTGAATTTCCTGAGAACCAGAGAGTCAAAGTTTTAGGGGTTAGCACCTGCTCTGACTGTTAGGGCCTGATCATCTGAGAAAGAATGGGCCACAAAGCAGATCAGCAGTCGGATCCAACTACTACTTGTAGATGAAGTGGAATCATATTTAATAGCAATACTACAGCCCAGACCTTGTTCTGTACTCTTCCTATGCATTAGTACATTTAATCCTTACAAACTCACATGAGAGAGATGTAATTATTATCCTCATTTTACAGAGAGGTTAAGTGGAAACCATGGTTTAAACCCAGGCAGTCTGACTCTAAGAATTCTCATTTGTAAAACTTTGGAACAGTTCAGAGTCAAGTTCATAAAAATTATGTCATGAAACTGGGGCATTAAGAAGGCTGACTGTTGAAAGTAGGTATGCACAAAGCCTTTATTTGTATTTGACTCAAATTTGTGATGTGTCGGGTACTAGTAAGGCATGATTTGTCTTCTGGCTATACCACTTTTCAGTAAAAATCTTGCACATAATACATTTGTATTTTTTATCATGTGATTCACCAGTAAAAATATTAAAATGTACCCAACACTGGATTTTTCAAAATGTGAATAAATTTAGACAACTTATATTTTCTTATTTTGGGTGATCCTTTTATTGTCATTTACATAGATGTGTATTACTATGATAAAGTCTTTTTACTCCAGGTTTTTAGACATTTACATTTTTATCACAAGTTGTCTTGGTGTTTCTTTTTTATCAAACACATCTTTTAGCACAATCGCATGGAATTTAGTGGCTAGTTACTATGAACAGTTGCCTTATGGGAGATGCGGGTTGATGACAGCCCAGGAGCCATGGAGTGGTCACTACGTGGTAGAATCTCCTGTCTGGGTGTCAGGTATGGTTCAGTTCCATCTCTCACTCCCTAAATTCTTCTCTAAGAGACAACAGAAAAACACTTAGAGAAGATTATATAAACTGCATGTCTATGCGTGTTTTAAGTATGTGATCTAAGCAAGATTTGCCAGTGTTTTATAAGAATATTTTGGGTAACTAGACTACTCTCTGATTATTGTAAGACCAGGCTTTTAGAAAAGTGTAGGAGAGGAGGAGAAAGAGAGGGAAAGGAAGAGCTGTGTAGCGATAGATACAGAAATTAATAATCATCTAAGGATATAATTACAAATGATGATATTGCTAACAAAATTATGTATTTGTAAACAGAGTATCTAGAAGTCTTAAGATTAGCTTTGGAGACACTTTGTTCTTTTATATTAATATAGTTTCAATTAGAATAGTATGCTAGCAAAATCAAAGGTAGATGATTAAAAATACTATATTTATTGAATCATCAAATGAATAAGTAAATATGAAAGTTCTGTGAAATATGGCTTTATATTGTCCCCTAAATCTGTGAAATGTGGGTTGTGAAAAGGTAAATTTCAAAATAGGTGACAATGTAAAGCTTATAAAGATTTAAAATGAGCATATACTGAAGATTTTATGTTACCTATATGATACGAAGGATCCTGGCAGATGGCAGATGTTAGAAACAGTTCAAATGAAAAGTCAACATAGCACACATTTTTGTAGTGTTAGGGAATTGGAGATGAATTGTCAATGGAGGTAAGTTGGGTTTCCCACAACAGGGAAGAAATTAATTAAATTTCTACCAGACAAGACATAATTTATATTGCTCAGAGACAATGAGCAGGGCTATAGATAATACATCCATTTTTTATTGAAATACAAAAGTTTCAGTACAGTATCATTCCTTAGTCACAAGGGAAGTTGAGATTATGCGGGGATGCATGGCATAGTGTCACTTTTTCATGAAGAGATATAACCATACTAATAGTGAATATAATTTAAACAAAATAACAAAATCTGTTGCTGAATAATGTTGAAATTTTTCTGCATTTTTTTTTGTAAAATATTAAACATTTATGACCATTTTTAAAAAAAATCCTAATAATCTTTCTAAAAAGCTAATTTCTTTAAAGGTAGAATCCTTTCAGAAGAAAATTATGAATTTGGAGTGAATTTGTTTTTATTTTAAACTTAAATTTGGTGGTTTTCCCTTTTAGTTGTGCTCTCCTAAGACAGATTTGTAATCATATTAATCATGTAATCATGATATTGCCGGGCGTGGTGGCTCAAGCCTGTAATCCCAGCACTTTGGGAGGCCGAGACGGGCAGATCACGAGGTTAGGAGATCGAGACCATCCTGGCTAACACGGTGAAACCCCGTCTCTACTAAAAAAAATACAAAAAACTAGCCGGGCGAGGTGGCGGGCGCCTGAAGTCCCAGCTACTCAGGAGGCTGAGGCAGGAGAATGGCGTAAACCCGGGAGGCGGAGCTTGCAGTGAGCTGAGATCCGGCCACTGCACTCCAGCCTGGGCGACAGAGTGAGACTCCGTCTCAGAAAAAAAAAAAAAAAAAAATCATGATATTATTCTAAACTCCTTAAATTGTCCTCCCAAAAATATGAAAAAATTAAGGTTACACTTGTATATTAAACTTGTATATTCTAATATTGAGAATTATATGAGAAAATTAAGGTTAGACTTGTATATCAGCCCCTTGAATGTTGAAATTGTTGGCCCCACGTTATTTAGATGAACTAATACTCTTAATTTTGTGACTTTTCCAAGGGTTGGGACATGGTATATTGCTTAGTGCATTTTCAGGACGCGCTTAGGAGGTGACCAATAAATGTACATGTGGTGGCAATAAATATGTTTGAAACCATAAAGTTAGTTTCTGAAATTCGTTATTAACTTTTTTAACCTTTTTATTGGTAGCTATTTTAGGATGGGTTAAATAGTGAGGAACTAAGGTTGCGGGGGAATAACTATTGTGTTCTTGAAAAAAAGACTGATCATGTTCTTGAACTGACACTTTCATTTATTTTTACCTATCGTTCCGGGAATCTTCTTGCAATTGTTTCATTTATCTAGATTAATTATTTAAAAATTTAAACATGAGGTTGACAGATACATTCCTCCAAAATAGAAAACAGCTTGTTTGAATCAATCAGACCCAAACTGATATACAGCTTTTTTTTTTCCAAAAGAAATACTATTATTGCCATTTTTATCTTATTTCAAACTTTGTTTTTCTATAGCTCATACCACTCAGTTTACTCAACCTGGCTGGTATTACCTGAAGACAGTTGGCCATTTAGAGAAAGGAGGAAGCTATGTAGCTCTGACTGATGGCTTAGGGAACCTCACCATCATCATTGAAACCATGGTAAACTTTTGTTGTTGCTATTGGGTTAACTCACTTCTTTACTATTGGAAAAATAACATTATACAAAACTGAGTACTTTTTTCACATGTAAATACATAAGCATACAGACAGATGCCAAGATCTTATGGCTTTTATTTAAAAAATTTTAGCCATGAGTCATAAAACGTAGCACACAACTCACTGATTTATACAAAATAGTCGGCTCTCATCTTTTCTCTACTTTGTTTCTGGCAATTGGGACAAAATTAAGGTTACCTATTTACCAATATTTGTGGAGAAGACCTTCACGACCTTCCCTTGCCCTGATATGTCATCTTACGGAGGCTGTGACTTTTTCCTTTTTCATCCTCAGGTTGTTTTGGGTTGTTTTGGGGAGACCTTAAGTCTGTTGAGAGCAAGGAGCTTAAAATTCAGGTGATTGAGGGGCTTGAGTAGGAAGGGAATAGGTCTGACAGGTGGACAGAGGCATGGGAAGAGGTAGGAGCTTGAAGGCGGACATATCAAGGATTCAAGAGAACTGAAAGAAAGAATGAAGGTGAAAAAAGGTGGATGGAGAAGCAGAAGCAGATGGAGAGAAGAAGTCTTAGAGGTACCAGTTTGGGGAGATCTCAAGCTTCCCAAAGAGGTCAATGAAGTTCTAACAAGAAGGAGGTAAACAGAATGGGAAGTGCATATAGTCAGGAGGGCTTATGTGAAAAAGGATTTCTAGCAGTCAAGTTCCCATGGGAGAAGTAAGATCCAAAACAGAGAACAGAGTAACCTTTAAAAAAGTGTGTGTGTGTGTGTGTGTGTGTGTGTTTATGTGTATCATATCAGGTTCTGAATGTCAGCCTATAGTTTGTCCAACTCCTGACCATAGACTCTTAAAAAAAATTCTTTCAAATAGCCTACCATCAGGTTTGAGCCAGGACAAACAGTAAATATTCCTGGCAGTATTGATTTTTTAAACCAAAGATATCTATTAAGTGACTCACAACGCAAACCAATAAGCCTTTTATGTCTTACCATGGATGAAGAGGATTCTCAAAAGAGGGTGTAAAAAGATGCAGCCCTCTCAAAATCTACACTTGATCACGGAGAAAGGATGAGAGCCAAATATTTTGTATAAATCAGTGAGTTGTGTGCTACGTTTTACGACTCCTGGCTAAAATTTTTTAAATAAAAGCCATAAGATCTTGGCGTCTGTCTGTATGCTTATGTATTTCCATGTAAATACAAGTTGTGTGCTATGTTTTGTGACTCATGGCTAAAATTTTTTAAATAAAAGGCTGAGAAGTGATCCTTCTAGACCTAGAACCACTCCCAAGGATAGTCAAAAGAAAGACCCTGATAACCTCCCTACTCCCCACTCCCCATCAGAGCTGGCAGTAGTTGGTAAACTAGCTGCAAATGGAGTGCAAATCACATTTTTGTCTGGTTATACTCTTGGGGCCCCACCTTGAAGTTGGCTGCCTGCATATGCAAAACTGACAGCTGACACATCCCTGACAGGTGTGAAGTCAAGCCAGGTTCTCAGTGCACAAAATGGGACAAATAGGAAAGCAATAGCTGACCCTGGGAGGGAAGGGATCTACAGGTAATGAGTACCCAAAACTAAATTTATATGAGTCACAGACCAAACAAATGTTTTTCTTCTGCTAATCTGAATTTGGAGAGGAAGGGATGAGAAGTTTTTTTTGTTTGTTTGTTTGTTTTTTTAATTGTCTTCTCTTAATCAAGTACTCCAGGCAGAGACCCAGAAGAGCAGGACTTGGTGAGAATTCTTACCTTTCTGCCAGCTTTTTGTCAGTGTCTCAGGATCTCATCTGCAGGCTCGTAGAGTGAGTAGGCATCTCATCTTCACCAGAAACTGTCTTCAGAGATAAGGAATATAGGGAGAGCACCTGTTGAATGAGGGTCTTATGACCTGCTTCAGAGGAGAAAGGAGAAGGTCAGAGAGTAAACTTCCTGCTTCTGCATTTTTCTTAGATTACTTCACTTTTAAAATATTTGGGGGCAGTGTGTCTTGAACCCCATCATGGCTGTTATGACTAATGATGTGGATTAGCATGTGTGTACAAGTTTTTCTGTGGATGTGTTTTCAGTTCTCTTGGGTATATATGTAGGAGTGGAATTGCTAGGTCACATGGTAACTCTGTCTTTAGGATTTTGAGGAACTACCAAATTGTTTTCCAAAGTTACTGCACCATTTTACATTGCCACCAGTAGTTTATGAAGCTTACAATTTTCCACATCCTCCCCAACAGTTCTTATTGTCTGTGCCTTTGATTATAGCCATCCTAGTGGATATGAAATGCTGTTATTGTAGTTCGATTTGCATTTTCCTAGGGACTAATGATGTGGGGATCTTTTCATGTGCTTATTGGCAAGTAGTATATCTTCTTTGGAGAAATATCTGTTTAAACTCTGCCTATTTTTAAATTGGAATATTTGTGTTTTTATTATTGAGTCATAAGTGTTCTTTATTCTATATAAAAATTCCTTATCAGAAATCAGAAATATAATTTGCAGATATTTTCTCCCTTTATATGGGTTGTCTTTCATTTTCTTAATGGTACCCTTTGAATTAAAAAAAGTTTTAAATTGTGATGAAGTCCACTTTGTTTTCTCTTTTGTTTCTTGTGCTTTTGGTGTCATATCTAAGAAATTATTGCCTAATTCAAGGTTCTGAAGATTTATGTTTATGTATTCCTTTAAGAGTTTTAGAGTTTTAATTCTTAAATTTAGATTTTTGGTCCATTTTCTTTCTTAACTGGGGTTATATGTGTGTCCAACTTGATTCTTTTGCATTTTGATATCCAGTTGTCCCTGCACTATTTTTTGAAAAGACTGTTCCTTTTTCATTGAATTGTTGTGGCACCCTTGTTGAAAATCAATTGGCAATAAATTTGAGGGTTTATTTCTGGAACCTCAATTTTATTCTGTTGGCCTATATATCTATCCTAATGTGAGCACCACACTGTCTTAAGTACTGTAGCTATCTGGTAACCTTTGAAATCAGGAAATTTTTGTTTTTTATTGACACACGGTACAATTTGATGTTTTGATACATACATGTGGGATAATGATCAACTCAGGATATGCCCATCACCTCATGAATTTATCATTTCTTTGTGATGAAAGCATTCAAAAGCCTCTCTTCTAGCTGTTTTGTAATACACAAAACCTTACTGTTAACCATCTTCACCCTAGTGTGCAATAAAACACCAGAGCTTATACCTCCTGTGCAATAGGTACTTTGTAGCCATTGACCGACCTCTTCCTGTCCTTCCCTCCCCAGCCCTACCCAAGTGTCTGGTAACCACTGTTCTACTCTCTGCATCTGTGATGTCAACTCTTCTTTTTTTTAAATTCCACATATAATTGTGATGAGGTGTTTGTCTTATTGTGTCTGGCTTATTTCATTTAACATGATATCCTCCATATTCCTCCCTGTTGTTGCAAACATCAGGATTTCATTCTATGACTAATAATACTCCACTGTGTATATATATCACACTTTCTTTATTCATGCATTCATTGTTGAACACTCAGGTTGATTCCATATCTTGGCTATTATAAATAGTGGTTTAATAAACATGGGAGTGCAGATACCTCTTCAACATACTTATTTTATTTTGGGGGATATATACACAGTAGTGGGATTACTGGATCCTATGGTAGTTCTTTTAATTTTTTTTTTTTTTTTTTTTTGAGGCAGATGTCACTCTGCACTTCCAGGCTGGAGTGCAGTGGTACAATCTCAGCTCCCTGCAACCTCTGCCTCCTGGGTTCAAGCGATTCTTCTGCCTCAGCCTCCTGAGTGACTGGGATTACAGGCGCCTGCCACCATACCTGGCTCATTTTTGTATTTTTAGTGGAGACGGGGTTTCACCATTTGCCAGGCTGGTCTCGAAGTCCTGACATCAAGTGATCTGCCCACCTCAGCCTCCCAAAGTGCTGAGATTATGGGCGTGAGCTACCACATGCCCCGCCTATTTTTAATTTTTTAGGAATCTTTCGTAGTGGCTGTACCAATTTACAACCCCACCAACATTAAGTAAGTATTTCTTTTTTTCCACATCCTCACCAACACTTATTTTATTTTTGTCTTTTTGGTGATAGCCATTCTAAGTGGAGGGAAGTGGTATCCTATTGTGGTTTTGATTTGCATTTCCCTGACGATTAGTGATGTTGAGTATTTTTTCATGTACCCGTTAACCATTTATATGTCGTCTTCTGAGAAATGTCTGAACAGTCTTTTGCCCAATTTCAAATGGGACTGTTTTGTTGTTGTTCTTGTTGTTTAAGTTCTTTATATAATCTAGATATTAACCCCTTGTCTCATGTATAATTTGCAAATATTTCCTCCTATTTTGTAGGCTGTTTTACTTTGTTTCTTTTGCGACCTGCTTCAGAGGAGAAAGGAGAAGGGCAGAGAGTAAACTTCCTGCTTCTGCATTTTTCTCAGATTACTTCACTTTTAAAATATTTGGGGGCAGTGTGTCTTGAACCCCTTCATGGCTGTTATGACTAATGTTGTGGATTAGCGTATGTGTACACGTTTTTCTGTGGACGTGTTTTCAGTTCTCTTCAGTATATATGTAGGAGTGGAATTGCTGGGTCACATGGTAACTATGTGCAAAAGCTTTTCAGTTTGATGTAATCCCTTTGTCTGTTGTTGCTTTGTCTGTGCTTTTGAGGTCTTATTTAAAAAAATTCTTGCCCACTTCATTGTCATAAAGCATTTTCCCTTTGTTTTTTTCTAGTTTCATAGTTTCGGGTTTTATATTTAAGTATGTAATCAATTTTGAGTTGACTTGTGTGTATTGTGAGAGGTAGGGGTCCAGTTTCATTCTTCTGCATGTGGCTGTCCATTTTTCCCAGTACTGTTTATTGAAGAGACTGTCCTTTTTCCCAGTGTGTATTCTTGGCACCTTTGTTGAAAATTAGTTGGTCATAGGGCATGAATTTATTTCTGGACTTTCTATTATGTTCCATTTGTCTGTGTGTCTGCTTTTATGCCAAAACCATGCTGTTTTATTAATAGTTACTATAGGCTTTTAGTGTATTTTGAAGTCAGGTAGTATGATGCCTTCAGCTTTGTTCTTTTTGCTCAGGGTTGCATTGGCTGTTTGTGGTCTTCTGTGTTCCTATATAAATTTTATGATTGTGTTTTCTATTTATGTGAAGAATGTCCTTGACATTTTGATACAGATTGCATTAAATCTATAGATTGCTTTGGGTAGTACGGCCATGTTAACAATATTAATTATTCACTATATTTTTGTGAGTTATTTTTTAGTGATTATTCTAGGGCTTACCATATACATCTTAACTTACTGGACTCACTTCAGATTTAAACTAACCGAATTCCAGTAGATTATGCTGAATTCCCTTGTTGGTCTGTTCCCTTTCCCCTTTTTTTCTATTATTAGCACACATATCACAACACTGCATGATGCAAACTCAGTAGGACATTGTTACTTTATATATAAATTTATGTTTTTAAACCAATAACATGCTGTTTTGGTTACTATAGCCTTATAGTATAATTTGAAGTTAGATAATGTGATGCCTCCAGATTGTTCTTTTTGTTTAGGATTGCTTTGGCTGTTTGGATTCTTTTTTTGGTTCCATATGAATTTTAGGATTGTTTTTTCTAATTCTGTGAAAGATGATGTTGGTATTTTGATAGGAATTACACTGAATATGTAGATTGCTTTGGGCATTGTAGTAACATTTTCACAATATTGATTTTTCTAATCCATGAGCATGGGATGTATTTCCATTTGTTTGCATCATCTATTATTTCTTTCAGTAGTGTTTTGTATAATAGTTCTCCTTTTAGAACTATTGGTTCTTGGTTAAGTATATTCTTATATATTTTTTGTAGCTATTCTAAAAGAGATTGAATTATTGATTTGATTCTCAGCTTTGTCATTATTGGTATATAGCAGTGCTGCTGATTTATGCACATTGTTTGTGTACATTGATTTTGTAACCTGAAACTTTCCTGAATTCGTTTATCAGGTCTAGCAGTCATATATCAATAGAGCAGAATAGAGAACCCAAAGATAAAGCCAAATACTTAAAACCAACTGATCTTTGACAAAGCATTCAAAAATATAAATTTGGGGAAAGGACATCCCATTTAATAAATGGTGCTGGGAAAATTGGATAGCAACATGTAGAATAATGAAACTGCATCCCTACCTCTCACCTCAACATATACAGAAATTTACTCAAGATGGATTAAAGACTTCAACCTAAGACCGGAAACCATGAAAATTCTAGAAGAAAATCTGGGAAAAATTATTCTGTACATTGACCTAGGCAAATAATTTATGACTAAGACCGCAAAAGCAAATGCAGCAAAACAAAAATAAATAAATGGGACCTAATTAAACTAAAAAGCTACTGCAAAGCAAAGAATCATTGTAGTAAACAGACAACCTACAGAATGGGAGAAGACATTTACAAATTATGCATCTGACAAAAGACTAGCATCCAGAATCTATAAGGAACTCAAACCAGCAAGAAAAGCACAAATCCCATTAAAATGTGGCAGGTGACATGAATAGACATTTCTCAAAAGAAGATATACAAATAGCCAAAAAACAGATGAAAAAAATGCTCAACATCACTAATCATCAGGGAAATGCAAATTACAACCACAATGAGATACCACCTTACGCCAGCCAGAATGGCCATTAAGAAACATCAAAAAACAATAGATGTTGGCATGCATGTGGTGAAGAGAGAGTGCTTATCCACTGCTGGTAAGAATGTAAGTTAGTACAACCTGTAGGGAAAACAGTGTGGAGATTTATCAAAGAACTAAAGTAGATTGATCTACCATTCATTCCTGCAAACCCACTACTGGGTATCTACCCAAAAGAAAATAAGTCATTGTATCAAAAAGTCGCCTGCACACATATGTTTGTTGTAGCACAGTTCACAATTGAAAGATATGGAATCAGCCTAAGTGCCCATCAACTGATGAGTGGATAAGGAAATATATATATATATATATATATTTTCATGGTATATATATATACCATAAAATACTCTTCAGCCATAGAAAAGAATGAAATAATGCCTATTTCTTTGAATGTCTTACTTTTTTGTGTGTTGTTGGAAACTGGACCTTATATATAATATATGGTAGCAACTCATGTATAATATATGCTAGCAATTCTGGGCATTGATCCTCTCCCGCTTAAGGCTTGTTGTTGTTTGTTTATTTATTTAGTGATTTGCTGGAGTATTTTAGTTAAGTCTGTTCCCTCCCTCTTCCCCCATACACACTGTAAAGCCTGAAATGTTGCTCCCTGGAGAATGTGGCTTTGGGCATATCCACAGTCACCCTGGGATGACATTGGTTTTTCCAGGAATCTGTCTGGTTCCTTGATCACACCTCACTGTAAGTTACACTAACTGCTGGTGGATTTCTGTATTGTTTTAAACAATGCCCTGGCGGCTTAAGTTGTTGCAAAGACTGATCCAATTAAATTCCAGCTCATTTTCAGGGGTGGTTTGAGGTTAGTATTTCAGTTTTCTTCTGACCACAGGAGATTTTTTTTTTTTTAACTGTCACTTTTTTTCTTTTCTTTTCTTTTTTTTTTTTTTGGTTCTCAACAGGATGCTAGGCTGGGCTGTGGTTTAGCTTATGCCTATGGTGAAGCTACTGGTCTCTTATTTTCTTTTCACCAAAACCTCCATTATATTTTAGAGCAACATTAGTCTTAAACGTCTCTATGCTCTGTGTCAAATATCAATTCCTTTAAGAAAAGGTTTGAAGCTATTTCATGCCTTGCCTGTCCCCTTAGGTAAATCTCTAATCTCTAGTGATGTCACCTTTCTTATTGTTGAAATGTATATTTTCTGTCAACCTGATCTTTTATTAGTCTGGCTCTAGAAGTTTTTCAACTGTATTGATCTTCTCAAAGGATCAGCTTTTGGTTTTATTATTTTCTTGTGGTTTTTAAATTTGTTTTTGTTTAATTGATTCTTCTTCACTTATTATTATTTTCCTTGCTTATTTTGTTTTTTTGTTTATTTTTACTTTTTCAAAAAAAATTATTTCCACAGTTTTTTGGGGAACAAGTGGTATTTGGTTACGTAAGTTCTTTAGTGGTGATTTGTGAGATTTTGGTGCACCCATCACCTGAGCAGTATACACTGAACCCAATTTATAATCTTTTAAAATTTGCTCCTTTTTTTCTAGTATCTCAAGACAGAAGCTGAACTCTCAAATCCTTTCTTGATTTCTAATCTAGGTATTTAGTACTGTAAATGTCCTCCTAAGTATTGCTTTAGTGGCATATCACAAATTGTGATATGTTGTGTTTTCATTTTCATAAAGCTGAAAATTCTAATTTCTCTTTTTATTTTGCCTTTGATCTATTGATTATTTAGAAATTTGATAGTTTGTAAATATTTTTGACTTTTCCAGAAGATTTTCAGTTATTCATTTCTGATTTAATTCTATTGTGGTTAAAAAAGTACTTTGTGTGACTTGAATCTTCCTGTATTTATGAGGACTTGCTTCATGGATCAGAGTATGGTGTAGTTTGGTCAATGTTCCATGTGCACTTGAAAAGAATTTGCATCCTGCTATTGTTAGATGTAGTCATTTATAGACGTCAAGGCCCTTTGTTTGGTAGTGTTGTTCAAATCTCTTATATCCTTGCTGATTGTCCATCTAGTTGTACTATCAATTACTAAGAGATGGGTATTGAAATCTCTGATTATGAAAGTAATTTTTTAATTGTCTGCAAAGCCTGAAATAAAACTGTGTACTGTAAGTATTCTGTGACTGTGGAATCTCTTAAAGTAGGGATTATATCTCATACTTCTTTTGATCCCAGCCCATAGTAGTGACTATTTAGTGAAAAATGATGGCAGTGTGAGAACTACGTTACATATATTTAGCTGACCTTAGTGTGTATTTGATATCTGTATATACTATATATATACACATCCATATATATATATATATTTTACTTCTTACATGAGAACGAAAGTTATATGTAGATGAGATATCTTTTCAGTGAAAACAGCCTTGCTCTTGCTTTTTATTTGATGTATTTTAGTTGGAAAACAGTTATAACAAAAAATTAATCTGCGTGCCATATGTTTCTACAGTTTAGCTATGAATTCAAAATTTGATCCAGTTGAAATGCCACTGACCTTTGCATTTGACTAGGAACATACAATACACATTCAGTAAAGATAATATCATAAGAAAGTCTTTAAAAATGTGAAATAAACTCATATTTGTTATCTAGTATATATTAATTTCTGTTAATCTTGGGCATTAACTATTGAACTTTTTTCCCCCTAAGGTAGCTTATACATCATTTGGATAATGTATGTGATTTTTTCTTTTCAGAGTCATAAACATTCTAAGTGCATACGGCCATTTCTTCCTTATTTCAATGTGTCACAACAATTTGCTACCTTTGTTCTTAAGGGATCTTTTGTAAGTAAATATGTTTAACTTTATTTTGGTTTTGATTTAAGAATTTGTATATTCTATCACAGGCCAGTAGTTCTTAAGTGAAGCCTCATATTATTAACTATTAACAGTTTGTATATGAATTGACAGAGGCCCTGGTGTCTTCTGTCTTCTCACTTGCTTTAATCTAACAGGACAGAAGCCAGTAGGAGGTAAAATGCTCTGTGACTTTGAGGAACACGTACAAAAGTCACTTGCCAGAAAGTGGTTCTTGGTGGCAGAAGCATTGTATGGTCTAGGGAACTTTCAAGCATTGATATTGACAGTATACTATGCCAAAAATATTTTTAAAAAGTACCAGATACTTGCTATTTCTGTGAATTGTTAGGTTTGAATTGAGAAACTGCAGTACCCTTTCTGATTACTAATGGCATAAGAATTGTTTTTTAATACCAGAAAGTTGTTTTAATTTAAATTTAAAATAATTTAAAGGTTTTTTAAACAGGTACAGTAATGAATGTTTTTGAAGCAAAGACACTGTGATTTTTTAATCATTTGCCAAAATTCTTTAGTGTTTAGAGAATAAAGTATTTGCTTGAACAATGTTTTCCTATTTTTAAAAATATTATTTAATATTTGAAGTGGTTCTCCTGATAAATAGAGATAATATTGTCATTGGTACATTCTTGCTGGTACTGAGTTTGGAAATCCTCAAAGAGGACGTGATAAATTACTCAGCCATGCTTTTTTGTCTTTTCTTTACAGAGTGAAATACCAGAGCTACAGGTGTGGTATACCAAACTTGGAAAAACATCCGAAAGATTTCTTTTTAAGCAGCTGGATTCTCTATGGGTAATTTTAAAGTAAATTGTTATATTTTGGGTATTACAACAGTAAAACAGTAAAAGGGAACAGAAATTTCATTAATTAATAATTTTTATTTTTATGTTTGTATGTTTATAGATGTGTTCAGCTCTTAGACATTTAGTTTGTCTTGGTGGATGGTGACGCCATCACCTGACTGCCCAGGTCGGAAATTTAAGTCCCCTTTGAGACTCTCTGTCTTTCCCATTCACCCTCTGTATCCCACCAGTGGTCAAGTATAGATGATTGTATCCACAAATTTCTCTTACTCACTCCTTATTCTCCATTACCACTGTTACTTCTGTTACTTCTTGTTTCAGTTCTTCATTCTCTCTCTCCTGGATTTCAGAAACTGCCTCTTGTTTTTCCAGTCTGAATTTCCAGGTCACCCATCACTGCTACAGAGTGAAATGTCAAAAATGCAGATCTGATTTTTGTGACCACTGTGCTCAGACGAGCTCAGTGATTTATTTTCTTAGCAGTTCACATTCCTTAGTGTAGCACATGACCCTCATTATCCTCCCAGGAGGTAGAAGACTGGTCTTCTTCCTAGAGGTGTGTCCTACTAAACTGGCCTCTCTTCACAGACTAAACTTACATTTTTCAAAGCGTAGCATGCCTGTTTATTTACTTCTGTGACTTTGTGCATACTGTTTTCTTTGCATAGAATGACTTCTCCTCATCTTTATCATCTTTTGAGACTCAATTCAAGTGTCTCTTGCTCTGAAGCTTCCTCACCAGTCTTAGCTCATGTTCACCTGGGGCCATGTGTTTACCTAGTTAAACACTTGTCCTGCTCCACCAGACACCTTGAAGACTGAGCCTTGCCTTATTTAGCTTTATATCTCAAGTGCTTCCCACAGTGCTTCATCCATGGTGGTTTCTGGGGAAAGGTTCAAAGAACGAATTGACCCAAACAAGCACATTATTTCACTTAATTGACACAAATCTACCACTTTTTCTGGTTGTTATTAATGTTCTGATAACCAACTAGTCACTAATAGTGATAAAATACCTTATTATATATTAAGTTCTGAAAAAAAGGTTCCTACTTTTTGTGTAACAAAATTGCTAGGAATAGCATAATAGAATTGATTTTCCCCATAAGAAAAATAATGTCATTTGGGGTTATTCTTCAACCTGAATATAACATCAGGTATTTCATAGATCTGATCATCAACCTACCATTAAAACAAGGATAATAACTCCTTTAATTCAAAGTAGAAAAAAAAGGTTCTAATTTCATAAAATGGGCATAGATTTAATGCCTTCAGTGATTATGCAAAGGATTCCAGTGTCTTCAGAGGTCTACATTTAGCATAGAGCAGCTTTGATATTGGGAGTGTTTCCCATTGGTCGCACACTGGGCTTAGCACTTTAAAAGCATTATCTGGTTTAATCATCACAACAGCTCTATGAGGTATGTATTTTTTCCTCATTTTGTAGATGAGGAGATTGTGGTTTAAAGAGATTAAGTTGCCAAGATTGTAAGTGTGACATAAGCCTAACTTGCTAGTTGAAATATATATTGAACATAAAATGAGCAGGATTTTCCTCTCTTAATTGTAAAAGGATTTCTGTGATTAACAACTGGATCAACAGTGATATTTTATGGAGTTTTCTACCTTAGTAAAACTACTGAGAGGGAAAAAAGCAGGTCTCTTAGTTGCATGTATTGAATATATCCAAGCTTTAAGGAGCTTACTGTGTAGTGGAAAAGAGTAGGCTAATAGAAATAGATTTTGAGATTATTTAGTCCTTCCTTCCATGAATTAAGGTTGTTTAAAATTATAAAGCATAATTTTATGAAGTTTTCTAAAATACTTAGGAAAAAAAGATTCCAAGGGCCTTGGTATTGGTGAGTTTTCCACAAATGTTTAGGAAGTTCTAACAGAAATGATTTGGACTTTTCTTTAAGCTAATTTTTTACAAAAGCTATTTTGTCCAGTCTTGAATACAGTAGTGTCTTCTTTTTCAGCTCCTCGACAGCAATGGCAGTTTCACACTGAAACTGCAAGAAGATGAGCTGTTCACACTCACCACTCTCACCACTGGTCGCAAAGGCAGCTACCTGCCTCCTCCAAAATCCCAGCGCTTCCCGAGTACCTATAAGGATGATTTCAATGTTGGTGAGTATTTTTCACTGAAACTTAACTTCGTCTCTATAGTGTGTTGATTTCTACCTGTCATACTGGGTGCATGATGGAGTGGCTGTCAAAAGCACATTCATTTAGCTCCTACATCTCATATGTGGTAAAAGGAGGGCTAATTTTTTATACTACTTTGTGGCAAATCTAAATTTGAGGACCCTATATTTTTCAGTTTCAGAAAAAAATATAGAGTTCATTGTTAGAATGAAAGTTATAATTCTAATTTGTTTTTGGTGAAACTTAAACTTTGTAACTTTGCTACTGCCCCATTAGCCATTACTGACACCTTCCTTCTGTGTGGAGGTTAAGACACATTTATGTGTGTCTTTCCACATTTATATGTGTCTTTCCACATTTATATGTGTCTTTCCGCATTTATATGTGTCTTTCCGCAGTGCTAGTGAACTGAGTGCTTATGGGCAGTTATGTTGTCCTTGGGTGATCCAACTCATATACTATCCCATGCCTCCGAGATTTTTATTGAGCTCTCTTGATTTTCTAGGAAAATCTATCCTAAAGTTCTTAGAAAAGTTTTTGGTTATAGGTGATTTAGGAAAACCACTTGGAAAAAAGTTAGAAGATATGGTCACTGTAGTTATATTCCTAGTCAGTAAGTAACAAAATTTGTTGACTAGTTGGTAGTGTTCTATAGGTTATGGGTCTCACAGACAGGGTCAGGTGGCTTTGTAATCTGCTCCTACAATCTGTAGCAGGAGAGTAATAGGGAGGGAACTGGCATTGCTGGAGCATCACTTGAACCTCCTGTTTGCTGCAGAGCTGCTTTTTCCACCAAAGGTGGACACTCCTATCACCCTTTCCCAGTCACTGCTGGAGGGTCTCACCTTTCTTTCTCGGGAAATGATCTAGTTGGCTGGAGTAGCAGGCCTTTTGGACTGTGTAGTGGAGTCCTCTCAACTATAATACAGACAACAGTGACCCTCAGGGGGAGCTTGGTGGTTTGTTTTTCTCCAGCCCTCTGAAATGGCCTCTTAGATAAACCCATTAATTCTGTGAAACATAGGTCTTTAAAATCTGTTGCTTGGTTGGTTGTCTGTTAGCAAAGGTGACTTTTGCCTTCAGTAAGTGAGGAATTTGTGTGGGATATGGCCTAGTTAATGAGATTGAAGAACTTCTGCCAGCACCAAGACCAATATTTTGTGACCCTGAAGACCAAGAGGCAATTCTAAACCTTCAGATATAAAATGTAATACTTTATGAGCTACAATATAAATTTAAAACTAAAGTTAAATATTATAAACTAGGCTCTGGAGATACTTGTTAGGGTTCTAAATGTCTCAAATGAGGTAATGAATGCAAAAACATTTCGAAAAGCATGAGGTATAAGAGCTATAAGATATTACAACTAAAATTTCTCCTCTACAGCATTCATTATTGTTAAGACTAAAATTTAATTTAGTAAAACTAAAAAGGGATTGATAACTTAGGCCCCAAACTTTGCTGCAGTTTAGAAGTAGAAGAAAATTTGTAAATTTTATGCTTCATATAGTAAGCTTTTCTTATGCTCTTTTGGCAGGTGATTGTGACCCATGATTTGGAACCTTGCTTGACAGATACTAGAAATAATAAAGCTATCCTTTATTGAGCCCTTGCCAGATGCTGGCTTATGTACACGTTTTCTTTTCTTTAATTCTCTTGTCCTCCTGCAAACCTAGAAATGAAGAAACTTTAGATGCAGGGCAGTTAAATAACTTGTTCAGGGCAAGATACTGAGCTCGAATTTGAACCTATAGGTCATACTTACTTCAAAACTCATGACCTTTCCTCTATACCAGATACCTGGATTAAGTATTATGCAGCATCTGTATGTCAAATTCATCATCTTGATATTTAGTAATGATGATACAAAAATTAATATATCTTTATTAGACGTAGGCCCTAAACTTTGGTTTAGATTTTATTTATTTATTAAAAACTTTCAGAAGTGTTTCAGATATACTGTAAAATATCAGCAAGGAGAACTCCTGAAGGATTTGATACTAAACAGAGAATTTCTTATATTCTGAACAGATTACCCATTTTTTAGTGAAGCTCCAAACTTTGCTGATCAAACTGGTGTATTTGAATATTTTACAAATATGGAAGACCCTGGTGAGCATCACTTCACGCTACGCCAAGTTCTCAACCAGAGACCCATTACGTGGGCTGCCGATGCATCCAACACAATCAGTATTATAGGAGACTACAACTGGTAAGATTGATGTTCTCAATGCGATCTCGCTGAAATACCCTTGTAATATTGTCAGGTACATTTTGAAGTGAAGAGCTTTCAATAGTCCTCCTTGTTCAAGAACCTAATAGATGTGTAGTATGTAATATTAAGGGTTGTTGAATATTATGGTGATGACCACAAAGCTGCACATTGTTTTGCTGCCTCAGTGTCCTTCCCTCATCTTTGCCCTATTTAATAGTGATTATTACAGGAACAATTTTATTTCAGTATAAAAACTGAGGACTTTTGGACCCAATTATAATTTAATATTTATTTATAAATAGACGGATTTGTGAGGTGTTTTTAAGTTTTTGTTTTGCTGGAGAGTTGATTTGTTGATCTGGTGTTGCCATCTGGTGGACCAATCATAGAATTACACCGTCTTAGCCTTATTAAAAAATCTATTTACCAGGTGACAGTAGATGGCAATAGTAAAAAGCAAATCAGCTTTAGTTGCCTAGTGAATTTAACTTTTTATTTAGTCATCTGGTAAAGAGACAAGTTATATTATTCACGTAAAATATAATGCCAAACTAAAACTTTCCCTTCCTCTTTAGTTTAGTTACAGAATTTCTATGTGCTGACTTATTATACCTGTCTTATGTGTTTCTTTTTCATTTTTTCCTATAACTAGTATGATTCCACTGTGGGAAAAAAACAAACAAACATTCCAGGTTTAGAGCTAGTACTAAGAATACCAGGCCACCAAAAAGCCATATCCAAAGCTTGGAAACTTGAGAGGGAAGAGAAAAGAATTCTGAAAAGGGCCTTGAATTGCCTGTCTGTGGAGTGTGCAGGAAGTGTTTATCCCTCCTGAAGTGCCTGACTCCCCGTTAGAAATCCTGATTCTAGTCCCAAGCTCTGACATAAGTCTCAAGAAACTTTCAGTTATCCAGAGCCCCTGGAACCCTTATAACACCAGGAAGAGTTATTGAGGTGCAGTGAAGAATTCTTTCCTAATGTAGGATGACATCTATGGCTTGTGTTTTTACACAGCAGAATTTCTGCTTGTGCCATTGTCTCTGAGCAGGAAACTTTACCTAGATTTTCCGATTATGGCAGTGGAATTCGTGGCATCCTCATTTGTGACGATGGTCTTATTGTAAGTCCAGTGGCTGGGTTTAAGTATCCAAGGCATGGGTCCCATTGTTTTGATCTCCAGTTTTGAAGTCACCATATAGGAAACTTTTTTTTTCTGTGATGTCCCCTATACCCTATGCACTTGAATACTATAGAGGGCTCTTTCTAAACTCAAACTCAATCTTATTTCTGGCTGAGACTCCAGAAAGATTGAGAAGCCCCTTAATTGTAGTATAGAAATGAGATACAGCACCGTTCAAAGATTTACTCCCCCATATCTTCATATATTTGAAGATTTTACACAATTTAAGTAGCAATACTCAATTTTTACTAGGATCTATTGCAGTGGATAAGGAGGTAGGGATGAGGGATGGAGAAGCGTGTAGAAGAGGAAGAGAGTGACACATTCTGAAAGGAAAGGAACCAGGAAGTTGCAATTATGCATGTCAAGAAAGGACTGCCCTCATCTTTCTGAATCCCTGTTTTCATCATGTTATTCCCCTGCTCAGGAAGATGCAGTGACTCTCCCCTGCTACCTGTGTTTTCCACTTCTAGGCCTGATTTCCAAGACGCTTTGTAATTTGGTCTCATCTATTATGGGTTATTTTCCAGTATTTCACCCTCTATTTGAGGCAGCCAGATCTACTCAGAGATCCACACAAATCCCTTGTTCATTTCTGTTGTCTGGCTGCTGTGCCCATTTATTGTGGGAAAAGGAGGGAATAAAAATTGGATAATAGTAGGCACTTTGATGGATTTCCCACACAACCACTTTATGGTGGAGATATCATCGTCCCCACCTTGCAGACTGAGAAACCGCATCTTTGGAGTAAGATTTACCCAAGATTTCACTGGTAAGTGGCAGAACCAGGGCTAGAAGCCGGGTCTGTATGACTCACTAGCCCATTCTCTTTGGAGTCTATCTCACAGCCTCATTTTAATCGTCTTCTTACTAAAGGTAGGAAATGGGAAATTTGTCTAGTTTATCTGTAGTGCTATTTTAGTAAATCTGTCCTCAATGTGTGCACATTACTCACAGTTTTTAGAGTTGTGTTTTGAGTAGAACTTCCTCTCTTATACCTAGATTTAGTTATTTACCAGCACAGTAATTTGATTATACTGGGTATATTGTAGTGTAACTGGCTACTTCTATCTTGATAGTGAGCATTGGTTGGAATTCTTTAAAGACAATCACAAAATTACCTTTACCTGCACACAGCTGAACTCTCTCTTTGATCAAATTTGCCTTATATATTGGCTAGTTTTTGTTCTTTCAGTACTGAGAGATTGTGGCTGTGGAAGAATAAACCACACTTTTATTCTATTTCATTCATTATCTATGAAATTGCCTGGCAAGTTCTAATGCAAGAATCACTTTTTCTGGAATGTGGTATATAAAAAAGGAAAAAGTTTGATCTTCTCTCATTCCAACTCTAAATGGAATAATTGTATGGTGCTGATGGTATTTGTAGCACTTTCAAACTTATGATGAACCAGAAAGCAGGTAAGGGATAGAAGAACCAGTGTTGATTGCTAGTGGTTTCATGCTGGTGATAATCTATGGAGAGAAAACTCCCTCTGATGTCAGAGGACATACAAGAGAGACTGGGCTTGAGTTACTGAGCATTTGATCTTCCTGTAAAGTAGCTCAGCTCTGCTTAATTAAGTGTGGATTGTCCTCCGTGTGTACCTGATATAGGTACTTTTGTAATATTTCCCTTTACATAGTAAAATTTCACTGTGCAAAATTCACTGATAAGACACAAATGTAAAAGCCATATAATTCTAGATCTCATTCCCCCCAACCCATTTCTGGAATAGATTTATTGGTGTTTCCAGTTTTATGTGAGATATGTGTGCAGGCTTTCTTTTTTCTTCCTACTTGCAGTTAGATACTGAGTAGGAAGTAAAATATTTTCAGAGCTCATGTTGGTTTGGGGTGGTTGTAGCATCCCAGAAGGAAAGTGTTGTACCTGGTAGCATTTGTAAGAGGAAACCTGGAGGAGAGCTTACTGTAAAAGCTCAGTCCCTGGACAGCTGAATCTTTTTCCCATCTTTTATAGACTGCTGTGGATCAGTGAGCCTAGAACCAGGATTTTATTGCTTCTTTATAGACAGATACTTCATAGGGGAAAATGGTCCTCAAAGTGGCATTCCTGGATAAGCAGCATCAGCATCACCTGGGAATTTGTTAGATATGCAAATTCAAGGGGCTGCCCCAGATTTACTGACTCACGCTGTGGGGTAGGACTAGTGAACTGAGTTTAAGAAGCCCTCCTGGTGATTTCCGTGCTGTTCAGGTGTGAGGAGCCCTCCTAGAGAGTCAACTCTGTGGTCTTTGCAGAGAAATAATTTTAGATCTTTTCTTCTGGAGTTTTAAAGTTTTGTTAGATTTAAATGTAAAAATTGGCCCTGGAATAGCTTATGTTCTCCCAGAGGCTCTTAGCATTACCTTAATTACCTCTCTTTGTTGCTGGAAATTTGAATAAACATTTTCCCTCAGAACTGTGTGGAACTTTTTACTTTTTATGTGTTCATACACAATAGTGGCTTTTTAAAATATTGTATTCTTAAGATGAGAAGTTGTTTTATTGTAGAAAAAAATATTTTCTCAGGAAACTTAAAAATCATAACTATTATTGTCCAATAATCATTTAAATAGGGAATGAAATGACTTAAGTCATGTAACATTTAAAACTGTTGTCAACAAAGATTCTTGAAGCCCATCTCTGCTACAGGCTCAGACTTAGCAAATCACATTCTCACCTCAATTAGAAGTTTGGAGACATGTGCTGTGAAATGACATATCTGTACTATGACAAAGGGCATATTTTAAGAGTATTAGTCAGCCGTTTTATTTTGCAGGACGAATCTGACTATAAAATGTGATGTTTACATAGAGACCCCTGACACAGGAGGTGTGTTCATTGCAGGAAGAGTAAATAAAGGTGGTATTTTGATTAGAAGTGCCAGAGGAATTTTCTTCTGGATTTTTGCAAATGGATCTTACAGGGTTACAGGGGATTTAGGTAAGTGACTTTTTTTTTTTTCTTTTTTTAATACCATATGACTTATAGGCTATGTTACTTTGAGCACCTACTTGTTATTTGTGGGAGTGATAAAAAAGTTCATCCCAAGGTGTTTGGACAGCTAATTGGGAAGAGATGTAAGCAAATACCAAATAGTTTACAATTATAGAAAGTTATTTAATTCCTAGAGATGGGGGCAACTCTGTGGAAGGGAAAATAATTGTACAAAGCTTTTTAGGGTATTGTGAAGTTGAACTGGGCTGTGAGGATAGGATTTGCATAGATAGTATCAAAACCATCTGAGGTAGTGGTGGTAGGGGGAGAATGCTCAGGAGGCACCATAAATAAAAGCAGGAGTATAAGAATGTTGCTGCTGTACTTATAGAAATATAGGGAGAGGGACTGATCTGCTTAAAATGGAAAAATCTCATTTTTGAATTTAGTTAATACTTGAAAATAGCTTGATTTTTCTCAGTCATCTTTACAGCCGTTGTGTTAGGTAGGATGATATTTTATCCAGAATAAGTGCTTCAAATATGTTCAGATTGAACTGTGTCCACTTCAGATTGGTTTTGGTACACACCACTCCTTTGAAACTAGACCTTACTAGGGGTGACTTTTCTTGATTCTCAGTCTCTTGACTTTCCTCTTACCTTAATTTAAAAATATCTTTTTTATAGTTTGCTGCTCTTTGCTTTGACTCCATAAATAAAATAAAAATTAAAGAGGAAGTAGGTAGTAAGGATATTAGAACAAGAGTTACATATTTGTAACATTACCAATCTGAAGTTACCTCAGTGATACTGAAATCAAAAACAGAGAACCAGCGAGGTTAATTGACTTGCCTAATGACTCAAAGCTAGTTAGTGGCAAAACTGGAACTAGGAGTTTAAATCTGTGTCTGCAGTCCCCACTGTCTGTTTTAAACTGCCTACTTGAAATTTTATCCTGGGGTTCTCATAGGCATTCAAATAACAGTAATTCCAGAAATTAACTTATTATTTTCTCCCTCTGAGTGAATACTATTACCATGTAACCAATTTGACTGGTTGGAAATTTTATATTCTCTCTCTCTTGTCTTCCATATTCAATCCAGTCATGTATAAATGTGTACTTGAACTATAGATGCTCATACTGTCACTGGCTTTTAAGTTTATTTCACTGGTTCTGTTGTGAGCTCACATATAGTATACAGCTTAGAGTAGGATCTCAGTATATGCTATTAAATGCATGGCTAAATGAAAAATGTTTTGGCTTAACTCAGTTGTAGATTCGGGAATGAAGGGACAGCTCTCTATTGAGGCTGACTTTACTACATACAGATGACACTTGAGAACCCCACTGAATTAAATGACTCTGTGATTGAGATCTCAAAATTATATCTATTAGGATAATCTTTTTGTGTTACAGCTGGATGGATTATATATGCTTTAGGACATGTTGAAGTTACAGCAAAAAAATGGTATACACTCACATTAACTATTAAGGTAAGTATTGCTGATTGGAGGATCTGGAGGTAAAATACTCTTTTGTTGTGCCTTTCTAGAATTTTCTGTTATAAAATAGGAGGGGGAAAGTGTGACATATAATGAAGAGAGACAAGGAATCTGCCTTGGTGCTGGAAAGCCACTCATCCCTAGGGTGGTTATGTGTGTGAGGCTAACCTACGTGAGAACCATCAGCAGTTGACTTTATCAGGTCTCTATTTTGTAAAAAATTTGATTTTGTTTTTTAAACTGAGGCATAATTGATAAAGTCAATAATTGAACTATTTTTTCAAGTTTGCTTGAACCCAGACTGTACATGGAGCTTATAGATGTAAGCAAAGTCATATACATTTATGTTTGATGGTTAAGAATAATTTGCTTTTCAGTTATAAGCATAGTTTTTTAGAAATTGGTTTCCATGAATGTTTTTTGTCAGAGAAAATACCAGATTAATTTTAATATAATAGAAATATAAAAATATTCCTCAGAATCACTGCGTGATCATGAGTTACTGCTCGACAGTGCTTCCAAGGGATGCTGTGCAGAGAAATTTTTTGTGTATAATGTGCTGGTCTCTCCCAAGATAGCTCCCTCACAGTTTTGTTTAGGGTGCAATAGAAATTAAAAATCAGATTCCAATAACTTTGGAATTTGTTCTCTCCTCTCAACCACCAAAATGACAGCACTAATTTTTTTAGCATTAATAATAATGTATATTGAAGATTTGTTTGGATGTAGCATAGATTATTTAACTATACTACACTAGCCAAATTGTAGCCATTTTATAGCAATTATAATAATATTCACTATTATTGAATTCGAAGATTTTTTCCAAACTCATAGGTATGATTTGTATTTCCTTGATAATTAGGGAGCTTGCACATGTAATGTTTATTGGCTATTTGTATTTTCGCTTCTCTGAAGTTGCCTGTTCACTTCTTTCTTCATTTTTCTATCGTGTTGTCTTTTTCTGGCAAATTTGTGTGAATTTAATATGTATTCTGGATAGTAACCCATTGTCTGTTACATATGTCACAACTATGCTCTCCCATCTTGTGTATTTTAATTTTGCTTATGGTATTTTTGATGACTATAAGTTTTATATTTTGATACTGTCAAATGTTTCACTTTTTATTCATTGCCTTTATGTTTCATGTTTTAAATAAGGCCTTCTTGTTTCTCAAGGTTAGGAACATTTTTACCCCAAACTAAAAAAAGTTTAGGATTTATTTTTATGTGTGAGTTTTTAATACATCAGAAATTTATTTGTGAATTTTAAGGGGAAGTATTGAATATAATTTTTTAAAAAATGGATAGCCATCATTTATTACAATAGACTATCCTTTTGCCCATAATTTAAAGGCTACCTTTTTGATGTAACAAATCAGCACATATGCATATACTTGTTTCTGAGCTTTTTTCTGTTCTCCGTATTGTTTGTCTATTATTATCCGAAATCACACTTTTAATTGGTGTTAACATTCTAAAGGCTTTGATGATACAGTTACTCCCTTGCTTCCTTCAGAGTTTTCTTACCTGACCACTTGATAGAAAACATAGCCCCATCTCACTCTCTAACTCCTTTCTGTTGCTTTTTTTTTCTCTAAAGGTTTTATCCCAAGCTGACGTCACACATATTCTGTTGATTGTTAATGTGTTTTCCTACTCCCTTCACTAGCACATAACTCCTTTAGTGACAGGCCTTTCTCCATATTCCTCACTGCTGGCTCTGTAGCACCTAGAAAAGTGCTGGACAGCCAGGCAGAGCAAGAGTCCAAATAATACTTGGTAAATGCATGAATGGATATCTCGTGGGGCAACTTCCTCATTGTTTCTTTTTCAAAATTATCTTTGCTATTCCACTATGTATATGTTATTCGATTTGACTTTTAAAAAACAAACTTTCAATTACTTGAAAAATGGTGCTGGTATTACATTAAATTTATACATCAATTTGGGAAAAAATTACATTTTTTAAAATAATAATGTGTTTCCCCATGAGAGAACATAGGAACAAAAGCATGCTGTATTTCACCATTTATTAAGATTTGCCACTAGGTCCTTCAGTTTTATTTTTGCACACCTTTGATTAAGTTTGTTTTAGTAACTTTATGAGTTTTTTTGAAATTGTGAATGAGATTTAAAAGATTTTCTTAATTTTCTTCAGGTACTTTGCATACCTGGTTAAAATGTCAACAGGACTTATTGAAAACAGCTGTCTCCTGCCTCACATCCTGTTCCTTCTTTTTGACCCCCATTCTGTGTTCTGTACTTCTGATACAGCCACTCCTCACTATTCTGGCTGTTTTTTCTGGTGTGTCTTTAATATAATGTGATTCACTACTTTTAGAAATTGGCTCTTGTCTTGCTACTAGGATGGATAGGACTTTGCTGGCTTTCACCCACCTCACTCCCCTACTCCTATTATTTTGTGTTTCTTCAACTATGGGCATTCTGCTTCCTCTTGAATCTCAACTTTTGCCACATACTCTGAGGGTCTTCTCCAACTATCGGCAGTAAAGTAGTCTGTCAGGCACCCATTGTCACTTTGACCTGGCTTAATTTTTACATGCTGCTTATCGTGTGTGTGTGCATGTCTGTCCATCTCCTCCTACTAGAATATAAGCTCCATAAGAGCAGGGACCTTGTCTTCTTGTTTGTCTTAAATTCCCAGTGTATTAAACAGTATTTGACATATAAATCTTCTTTGCATACATGAAAAAAACAAAACATCATCTTCTATGTTGCCCATATTCCAAATTTCAGCTAATGTGAGGATTTTGTCACTGACTGTCAGCCACCTGTTGAATTCTTCTCAGCACTTGTCAGGTGACGTGTCCCAGCTCTGTTGCATAGTGGGTAGCACAATGGACTTTGAAGTGTACTGTATTCTACTTGCAAGTATTTTATATTGCGCAGCTTCAATTTTCCCATCCATTGTATCATGAAGAACACTTTTCTTATGAAGATTCAATGAGAAAAAAATATATATATATATAGTACCTGAAATGTGGTAAGCACTTAATGAGTCAAGTTAATATTCTTATGAGTAGGAGTGTTTGGAACCAGAAGAACAGCATTCATATTTCCTCACTAACACATACTGAGACTTCTAGCAAGTTATTCCACCTCTTTGAGTATCCGTTTCCTTATCTGTAAAATGCAGATAACTTCTGTGAGGTTGTCTTGAGGGTTAAATGTGTTACATTCTTACATTCAACACATTTTTATTAAGCCCCTACTATATGCACTCTACTAAGTCCTAGGGATACAGCAGTGAATGAAATAGACAAGATTCCTGCTCTCTTAGAGCATATATTCTTCTAGGACAGGAGTTGGCAACTTTTTCTGTAAAGGGCCAGAGAGTAAATATTTTAGACTTTGTGGACCATGTGGTCTCTGCTGGCACCACCCACTTCTGCTGCTGTTGTGAGAAAAAAGCTGTAGACAATATGTAGATGAATGGATGTGGTTGTGTTTCAATAAGGTTTTGTTTATGAAAAAAAAAAGGTCATTGGCATGTAGGTCATAGTTTGCTGAGCCCTATCCTGAGATAGTAAGCTTGTAAGTAAGTTTATGATTATGAAGAAAAAATAGAGTCATAAGATAAAGTAGCTCTGTTACCCTGATTCTCTAACCAGGGAGGTGAGGAAAGACCTCACTGAGTGGGTGGTACTTGAGTACAGACCTGAATGATGGGAAGAACAATTTGAGCAGACCACATGGCTGGTTCAAAAGGCAGGTGTAGCTGACATTGTGTGAAGAGCAGCCTGGAGGCTGGGGTGGCTGAAGCCTGGGGAGGCAGGAGAGATGAGGTCCTCTTAGACAGGTTTTGTGCTTAATGGGATTTGTGATATGAGTCCCTTGGCTCAATGTTAATACTGAGTGTTTGATGGCAGCAGAAGATGTTCAGTAAGCACTTCTAGAGCTGAAGATAGCTGTGCAAGTCTGTAGTAACAGGAATGTGGCTCTGAATTTGGAGCTAAGTGACTTGGAGCAAAAATCTGTGATTTTGAGTTTTAATCTATTAAGCCTCAGTGTTTCCATGCATAAAATAAAAAGAACTACATTAAGGTCCATTACGTTATCCTTCCAAGACTTAAAAGCAGATTTATTCTGGTTCTTGGCCCAATGCTTTGAATTTTGAGCTCTTTACCTTTTGAGAGTAGCTAGTTTTAAATGATTGGCTGTAGTTAGTATGCTGTGAATATATGCTCATAAATGTACTATCATAAAGATAATAAGAGCTGAGATTTATTGTTTACCATGTGCCAGGCACTGAGCTAAGTAGAATGGCAAGCTTCTGAGGAAGATGTAATTTTTTCTTTCACTGTCAGTAACCAGTAAGTAACACCTTATAGATGCCTCCCTTCTTCCACCCACTGCACCCTACTCCATCTTCACTTTAACTGATGGTTACTGTTTTTTCAACTTAAGGGTAGGAGCTTCATATGGCTTTGAAGTGATATTCTGTTCATGGCAACACAACACAGAAGCTAAGGTTAATTATTTTTCTTGTGGCTGGGCAGAGGCTGCTTAATGAAAACCTTAGAGAAGCAATGAGGTAGAAGCAGATGTTTTGGCTCCAGCACAGTCATGTCTGAAGAGTTGGTGGCTGTTAGCCACAACACTTGTACATGTGACTACTTATAAATAATGTTTTTTTTATTTTAATGAGCTTTTGTCTAAAACTTTATAATAATGCATGAAAAGTTTTGCATTTTTGTTGGTTTTACATTTTTGTGGAGCACAGGAAATAGTGAGGTATTCCTTGTACGTTGGGAACAATTTAAGTAGGTAGGTAACAATTTCTTGCCGGAGTTTTCTTCTTTATTTTAAACTTTTGCTCAAACTTGTGGATTTGTGTTTTGCTGTGGTTAAGTCTTGAGTGAGAAGTACATTTGCTCCACTAAGTAGTGGGCCATACATGATCAAGAAACAGACTTCAGAGGACCATTTTCATATGGTTTCAAGGAATGTGTTTCTTTCTACTCCAGGGTCGTTTTGCCTCTGGCATGCTGAATGACAAGTCTCTGTGGACAGACATCCCTGTGAATTTTCCGAAGAATGGCTGGGCTGCAATTGGAACTCACTCCTTTGAATTTGCACAGTTTGACAACTTTCATGTGGAAGCCACACGCTAATACTTACAGGGCATCATAGAATACTCTGGATTTTCTTCCCTTCTTTTTGGTTTTGGTTCAGAGCCAATTCTTGTTTCATTGGAACAGTATATGAGCCTTTCGAGGCTAAAAATAATGAAGAGTAAATGGGGAGAGAAATTTATTTTTAATTTATCCTGGAAGATTTTGTTAGAATTAATTTCAAGGGGAAAACTGGTGAATCTTTAACATTACCTGGTGTGTTCAAACTGTGCATTGGCCCTGCCCTTAGGAGTGGTTTGAGTAGTACAGACCTCGAAGCCTTGCTGCTAACACTAAGGTAGCTCTCTTCATCTTACTTGCAAGCGGTCCTGCACATGGCAGTAACTTGATCATCATGGAGATGTATTTATGCATGCTGACCGTGTGTCCAAATGAGCCAGTGTCTTCAGCACAAGATGATGCTGCCATAATAGAAAGCTGAAGAACACTGGAAGTAGCTTTTTGAAAACCACTTCAACCTGTTATGTTTTATGCTCTAAAAAGTATTTTTTAATTTTCCTTTTTAAGATAATACTTTTGAAATGCAGGATATCATGAGTGGAATGATTGAAAAAATGCCTCTTTAATAAACTACCTCTAACGCTATTTCTGCAGTAATAGATATTATCAGATTAATTGGGTTATTTGCATTATTTAATTCTTTTGATTCCAAGTTTTGGTCTTCTAACCACTATAACTCTCTGTGAACATTTTTCCAGGTGGCTGGAAGAAGGAAGAAAACCTGATCTAGCCAATGCTGTTGTAGGCATTTCCTCTGCCTCATCTCACTGTGCTGTGGTCTGTCCTCACATGTGGCACTGGTAACAGACTCACACAGCTGATGAATGATTTCTCTCCTTATGTGTGGAAGGAGGGGAGCACCTAGCCATTTGCTAACTCCCAGAATTGGATCATCTCCTAAGATGTACTTACTTTTTAAAGTCCAAATATGTTTATATTTAAATATATGTGAGCATGTTTATCATGTAGTATGATTTATACTAAGCATTAATGTGGCTCTAAGTAGCAAATCCGTTATTCATGTGGGTAAAGTAAATCTAGAATTATTTGTAAGAATTACTCATTGAACTAATTCTACTCTTTAGGAATTTGTAAGAGTCTAACATAGGCTTAGCTACAGTGAAGTTTTACGTTGCTTTTGAAGACAGGAAGCTAAGTACTAGAATAAATAAGGTTACAGAGAACATTTTTCAGTTAAAACCAAGTGATTTCCAGCTGATATATCTAATATTTTTAAAACTAACATTGTAGAGTCATAATTTATTTACAATAAAATGTTCCCACTTTAAGTATATAATTCAGTGAGTTTTGATAAATGGATATACCCATGTAACCAACACTCCAGTCAAGTTTCAGAATATTTCCATCACCCTAGAAAGTTCTCTTGTATACCTGCTCAGTCAGTTCCTTTCACTCCCAATTGTTGGCAGTCATTGATACGAATTCTATCACTATAGGTTAGTTTTCTTTGTTCCAGAACATCATGAAAGTGGCCTCATGTACTATGTATTCTTATGAATGGTTTCTTTCTGTCAGCATAATGATTTGAGATTTGTCCTCATGTTGTGTGATTCAGTGGTTTATTCCTTCTTATTTCTGAAGAGTTTTCACACATTGTATGAATATACCACAATTTGTTTCCTCCCCACCAGTTTCTGCTATTACAATTAAAACTGTCCACATTTACAATCTTTGTGTCAAATATACTTCTATTTAAGATGAATACAGAGGAGTGAAATTTCTGGGTCTTATGTTAATTGTGTGTTTAACTTTATAAGAAACTACCAAACTGTTTTCCAAAATGATTGCATGGTTTTACACTTCCATCAGCAATGTTTAAAAGTTCCAGTTAGTCTGCATTCTTGTCAGTGCCTTGTGTTGTCGTTCTTTTTAATTTTAACCCTTAATTGTGGGTGTATAGTATGTACATTTCTCTGATGACTAAAGCTGTTGAGCAGACGTCATGGACTTAATAGACATTTATATACTTTGTTTTATGTAATATCTATTCAAATCTTTTGCTCATCTAAAAAAATTCTGTTGTCTTTTCTATTGAGTTATAAGAGCTCTTTACATCTTCCAGATACATTTTTTTTAAATGTTTTGAAAATTATTTTCTCTATTTCTACAAAGAACCTGATGGAATTTTCATTTTGATTACATTTAAATTATAGATATATCTGGAAAGAACTGATATCTGACTAATATGGACCCTTCAAATCCATGAGCAGTTACACCTTTTTAAAAAATGTTATTTTACTTTAAGTTCTGGGATACATGTGCAGAAGGTGCAGGTTTGTTACATAGGTATACATGTGCCATGCTGGTTTGCTGCACCTACTGACCCATCCTTTAAGTTCCCTCCCCTCACCTCCCACCCCACACCCCCCAACAGGCCCTGGTATGTGTTGTTCCCCTCCCTGTGTCCATGTGTTCTCATTGTTCAACTCCCACTTATGAGTGAGAACATGCAATGTTTGGTTTTCTCTTCCCATGTTAGTTTGCTGAGGATGATGGCTTCCAGCTTCATCCATGTCCCTGCAAAGTACATGATCTCATTCTTTTTTATGGCTGCGTAGTATTCCATGGTGTATATGTATCACGTTTCCTTTATTCAATCTATTGTTGATGGACATTTGGGTTGGTTCCATAACTTTGCTATTGTAAATGGTGCTGCAATGAACTTAACATGTGCATGTGTCTTTATAGTAGAATGATTTATATTCCTCTGGGTGTATACCCAGTAATGGCATTGCTGGGTCAAATGGTATTTCTGGTTCTAGATCCTTGAGGAATCACCACACTGCCTTCCACAATGGTTGAACTAATTTACATTCACACTAACAGTGTAAAAGCGCTTCTGTTTCTCGACAGCCTTTCCTGCATCTATTGTTTCTTGACTTTGTAATGTTTTTATTTTGACTGACATGAGATGGTATCTCATTGTGGTTTTGATTCGCATTTCTCTAATGATCAGTGATGTTGAGCTTTTGTTCATGTTTGTTGGGTGCGTAAATGTCTTCTTTTGAGTAGTGTCTGTTCATATTCTTTGCCCACTTTTTGATGGAGTTGTTTGTTTGTTTCTTGTATATTTGTTTAAGTTCTTTGTAAATTCTGGATATTAGACCTTTGTCAGATGGGTAGATTGCAAAAATGTTCTCTTATTCTGTAGGTTGCCTGTTCACCGTGATGATAATTTCTTTTGCTGTGCAGAAGCTCTTTAGTTTAATTAGATCCCATTTGTCAATTTTGGCTTTTTTGCAATTGCTTTTGGCATTTTCATCATGCAGTCTTTGCCCATGCATATGTCCTCAGTGGTATTGCCTAGATTTTCGTCTAGGGTTTTTATGGTTTGGGTTTTACTTTTAAGTCTTTAATTCATCTTGAGTTAATTTTTGTATAAGGTGTAAGGAAGGGGTCCAGTTTCAGTTTTCTGCATATGGCTAGTCAGTTTTCCCAGCACCATTTATTGAGTAGGAGATCCTTTTCCCACTGCTTGTTTTTGTCAGGTTTGTTGAAGATCAGATGGTTGTAGATGTGCGGTGTTATTTCTGAGGTCTCTGTTCTGTTCCATTGGTCTATATGTCTGTTTTGGTACCAGTACCATGCTGTTTTGGTTACTGTAGCCTTGTAGTATAATTTGATGTCAGCTAGCCTGATGCTTCCAGCTTTGTTCTTTTTGCTTAGGATTTTCTTGGCTATACGGGGTCTTCTTTGATTTCAGACTAAATTTAAAGCAGTTTTTTCTAATTCTGTGAAAAGCGTCAATGGTAGTTTGGTGGGAATAGCATTGAATGTATAAATTACTTTGGGCAGTATGGGCATTTCACGATATTGAGTCTTCCTATCCATGAGGATGGAATGTTTTTCCATTTGTTTGTGTCCTCTCTTATTTCCTCGAGCAGTGGTTTGTAGTTCTCCTTGAAGAGATCCTTCTCATCCCTTGTTAGCTGTATTCCTAGGTATTTTATTCTCTGTGTAGCGATTGTGAATGAGAGTTCATTCATGATTTGGCTCTCTGCCTGTCTGTTGTTGGTGTAAAGGAATGCTTGTGATTTTTGGGCATTGATTTTGTATCCTGAGACTTTGCTGAAGTTGCTTATCAGCTTAAGGAGTTTTTGGGCTGAGATGATGGGTTTTCTAAATTTAGAATCATGTTATCTGCAAACAGAGACAATTAGACTTCCTCTCCTCCTATCTGAATACTCTTTATTTCTTTCTCTTGCATGATTGCCCTGGCCAGAACTTCTGATACTATGTTGAATGGGAGTGTTGAGAGAGGGTATCCTTGCCTTGGTGTCGGTTTTCAAAGGGAATGCTTCCAGCTTTTTCCCATTCAACCTCATTGGCTGTGAGTTTGTCATAAATAGCTATTCTTATTTTGAGATATGTTCCAGCAATACCTAGTTTATTGAGAGTTTTTAACATGAAGGGATGTTGAATTTTATCAAAGCCCCTTTCTGCATCTATTATCATGTGGTTTTTGTCTTTGGTTCTGTTTATGTGAGGATTATGTTTATTGATTTGCATATGTTGAACCAGCCTCGCATCCCAGGGATGAAGCCGACTTTATCGTGGTGGATAAGTTTTTTGATGTGCTGATGGTTTCGGTTTGCCAATATTTTATTGATGATTTTCCTGTTGATGTTCATCAGGGATATTGGCCTGAAGTTTTCTTTTTTTGTTGTGTCTCTTCCCAGTTTTTGGTATCAGGATGATGCATCATACAGTGAGTTAGGGAGGAGTCTTTGGAATAGTTTCAGAAGGAATGATACCAGCTCCTCTTTGTACCTCTGGTAGAATTTGACTGTGAATCCATCTGGTCCTGAGCTTTTTTTGTTGTTAGGCTATTAATTAGTGCCTCAATTTCAGAACTTGTTATTGGTCTATTCAGGGATTCGACTTCCTTCTAGTTTAGTGTTGGGAGGGTATATGTGTCCAGAAATTATCCATTTCTTCTAGATTTTCTAGTTTATTTGCCTAGAAGTGTTTATAGTATTCTGTGATGGTAGTTTGTATTTCTATGGGGTCAGTGGTGATATCCCTTTATCATTTTTTATTGTGTCTGTTTGATTCTTCCCTCTTTTCTTCTTTATTAGTCTAGCTAGTGGTCTATGTATTTTGTTAATTTTTTCAAAAAACTAGCTCCTTGATTTATTGATTTTTTGGAGGGCTTTTCGTGTGTCGTCTTCAATTCTTCTCTGATCTTAGTTATTTCTTGTCTTCTGCTAGTTTTTGGATGAGTTTGCTCTTGTTTCTCTGGCTCCTTTAATTGTGATGTTAGGGTGTCAGTTTGAGATCTTTCTCACTTTCTGATGTGGGCATTTAGTGATATAAATTTCCCTGTTAATACTGCTTTAGCTGTGTCCCAGAGATTCTGGTATGTTCTCTTTGTTCTCATTGGTTTCAAAGAACTTCTTGATTTCTGCCTTAATTACATTATTTACTTAGGAGTCATTCAGGAACAGGTTGTTCAATTTCCATGTAATTGTGTGGTTTTGAGTGAGTTTCTTAATCCTGAGTTCTAATTTGATTGGACTGTGGTCTGAGAGACTGTTACGATTTCAGTTATTTGGCATTTGCTGAGGAGCAGTTACACCTTTTCATGTATTAAGTCTATAATTTCTCTCAGCAGTTTCTGTAGTTTTCAGCATACAGATCTTGAAGATGTTTTTTATTAAATGTATCCTTAAATATTTTATGTCTTTGATGCTATTGTAAATGGTGTTTATTATTTGTTACTCATACATAGAAACACAGCTGGTTTTTTGCATATTGACCTGCAGTCCTGCTCCCTTGCTAAATTCACTTATTAGTTTAGCTTTTTGTGGGTAAATTCTTTAGAATTTTCTACATATATAATTATGTAATCTGTGAATATAGACAATTCTGCTTTTTCCTTTTCAATATTTCTGCTGTATTTCTGATGCTTTTGTTGCCTTATTGCACTGACCAGGACTTCAAGTACAATGTTGAGAAGTGGTAAGAGCAGATGTATCAGCCTTGTTCCGCATCTTAGGAAGCGTCTCTTTCACCATTAAGTGTGAGTACTGAATTTGTTAAATGCTTTTTCTCTACATCTAATGAGATAGTTATACTGTCTTTCTTCTTTATTCTGTTAATGTGATATATCACATGGTTTGATTTTCAAATATTAAAGCAACTTTGCATTTGTGAGATATGTCATGACCAAGTGGGGTTTATTACCCTGTTTATGTACTGGTGAATTTAATCTGTCAATATTTGGCTAAAAGTGTTTGTGTCTGTGTTCCTGTGGAATATTGATCTAGTTTTATTTTCTCCTAATGTCTTTATCTGGTTTGGTGGCAGGGTGATACCTCATAAATTCAGTTTGGAAATGCTGCCTCCTTCTTTATTCTGTGAAAGTTTGTGAGGTTCTTAAACCTTAGAATTCATCAGTTATGTCAGTCAGGGTCTGATCAGGAGACAGAAACCATGCCAGGACCAATCTAATGTTAAGAATTATTAATTAGTAATGAGATTAGCCACTAAGGGGTAGAGAGAACTCCAAAGAATACAGGAAGAGCAGATGTAGAGACCAGCCACTTCCTAGGCTGGGGCAGGGTACTTACAGGGCAACAAACTCAGAAGAGATCCTCCTTACATGACTGAGGCTCAGATCTCACTGCAGATGATATAGTGTTGATATAGTGTGACCCTGGAATGGCCTAGAGTTTGCTGAGATGCTGTGTGCTGGGGCTGGCAGTGGGAAACTGTCTTCTGGGGTATGTGTCAGACTCATTGGGAAGCTCCTCCTGGAGTGCTGCTGAAACTCACTAGGAAGCCACCCTTTGTGGTGCTGGTGAAACTTTCAGGGAAACTACCTGCAGGGTTGTTGGTGAAAATCCCTGCAGAGTAAGTGCCACTGGTTGTTCCAGCTCCTACTGGAAGAGGTGCTTCACTGAGTGTCCCAAATGCTGCTTGCTAGTAGCCACATGGCACAGAAGCAAGAAGGAAAAAGCACACCGGGACAGAGAAGAGAAGCTCCTTCCTCCTGCAGTGTCCCTTTAGTAACCTCTGTTGATAAAACTTAAGTATGCCGCCTGACACAGGAGAAATGTTGACAAGACCCAGCTCCACTATCATAAAGCAGGTCAAATGAGTGGGTTTGAGGCTGAGAAGCTTTAACAGATACAAGGCTGTTCCAATTTTTCTTTTTCTTTTTTTTTTTTTTGAGATGGAATCTCACTCTGTCACCAGGCTGGATTGCAATGGCACAATTTCAGCTCACTGCAACCTCTGCCTCCCAGGTTCAAATGATTCTCCTGCCTCAGCCTCCCAAGTAACTGGGATTACAGGCGCACACCACCATGCCCAGCTAATTTTTGTATTTTTAGTAGAGTCGGGGTTTAACCATGTTGGCCAGGGTGGTCTTGATCTCCTGACCTCGTGATCCACCCACCTTGGGCTCCCAAAGAGCTGGGATTACAGGCGTGAGCCACTGCACCTGGCCAATTTTTCTATTTCTTATGTCCGTTTTGACAATTTGTCTTTTAAGGAATTTGTCAACTTCATCTAAATTGTCTAATTTATTGGCATAACATTGTTTAAAATATTCCCTTATTTTAATGTCTATAAGACATTTCTGATATGGCCAATTTGTGCTTTCTTTTTATCTTACTTGGTCTAATTAGAATTTTGTCAATTTTATTTATCTTTCAAAGAACCAGTTCTAAATTTCTTAGACTTTTTTCTGTTTCACTGATTGCTGCTTGTACCTTTATTATTTAGTCTACTTTTGGATTAAATTTACTCTTATTCTAGCTTCTTCAGATGCAAGCTTAGATCTTCAATTTTAGATCATCTTTTTAAAAATATGTTAGCATTTAACACTAAAATTTAAACATTTATTTAGTTATATCTCACATATTTTAATATCCACGTTCTAATTTTCATTCAGTTCAGAATATTTTCTAAATTATCTTGTACTTTTTTGAACTTTGTGCTAATTATTGTAGAAGTTCAATGTTTAATTTCTAAGTATTTGAAGATTTTCCAGATAACTTTTTGCCATTGACATTTAAACTTAATTCTGTTGTGATTAGAAAATATGTTGTGTTTCCTTTCAACTATCTTAAATGTATTTAGACTTGTTTTATGACCCAATTTATCTTAGTCAGTGTACCCTTAAAAATAATTTGCCTTCTGCAGTGATTGGCTGTAATGTTTTACAAATATTAATTAGGTCATGTTAGCTGATGGTGTTGATGTCTGTGACTTACTGATTTTCTCTCTACGTTTACTGTTAATTACTGAGTGAGAAGAGTTAAAATCTCCAAATACAGAAAATGTGTGTTTTCTATTTCCCTGTTCAGGTTCAGTCTGAGAGGTTGATTTTCCTGGGGCATTCTAGCTCTAGTCTAGCCCTGTTCTTAAGGCATGGAATTCCCTGGGAGCTGAATGAGTTCTCTCCACTATATTTGTTCACATCTTAAATATCTTCTAGCCCTGTGATAATTTTGATAGTTGTTCAGCTAACACTTTCCTGATTATTCTTTGGCCCAAGGGCTTTCACACTGTGAATGCTTAGTTTAGAGCTAAAGACACAAATAGACCCCCTCTGAGATTTCTGAACCTCTTTTTCTACATAGCACCCTTCTCTCAGATACTCTGCACTGCAAATTTCAGGTGCTGCAGCCTCTTTGAACTCTGATCTTTATCTCCACAGCTCCACAAGACCCATATACTCTGCATTTCCCCTCCCTGCACTGAAATCTGGTAAATGGCTCTAGACAGAAATGGGGGATCACAAAATTCACCTCATGGATTTCTCCGTTTTTCTCTGATCACAGTACTGGGCTTCCTGCTGTCTGCTCTCTGAAACTGTTGTTTACAGTGGGCTGATCCAGTTGTAGTTTTTATTCTCTCAAGGCTGGAAATGGAACTTTCCATTCATTTACTTGAATACCTGGCCATCCTGAGCCTTTTTTGATTTTTTTTTTTTTTTTTTTTTTTTGAGAAAGAGTCTCACTCTGTCACCTAGGCTGGAGTGGAATGGGACCATCATAGCTCACTGCAGCCTCGAACCCCTTAGCTCAAGCAGTTATCCTGCCTCAGCCTCCTGAGTAGCTAGGAATTACATGCGTGTGCCACCACACCTGGCTAATTTTTGATATATATGTGTATATATATATATATTTTTGTGTGTGTGTAGAGATGGTGTCCTTTTCTGAAATATTTTGACACTAAGACAGTCCCCAACTTATGATGGTTCAACTTAATGATTTTTCTGTTTCTTTTTCCTTTTTTCTTTTTTTCTTTTTTGAGATGGAGTCTCGCTCGTCCCCCAGGCTGGAGTGCAGTAGCACGATCTCGGCTCACTGCAAGCTCCGCCTCCCGGGTTCATGCTATTCTCCTGCCTCAGCCTCACGAGTAGCTGGGACTACAGGCGCCCGTCACCATGCCTGGATATTTTTTTTTGTAATTTTAGTAGCGATGAGGTTTCGCCGTGTTAGCCAGGATGGTCTCGATCTCCTGACATCGTGATCCGCCCGCCTCGGCCTCCCAAAGTGCTGGGATTATAGGTGTGAGCCACCGCGCCCAGCCAACTTTTCAACTTCATGATGCTGCAAAAATGATACACATTCAGTAGAAACCGTACTTCAAATTTTGACCTTTTCCTGGGCTAGTGATATACGGTACAATACTCTCATGACACTGGGCAGTGGCAGCAAGCGGTATCTCCTATCAGCCATGTCACCCTGAGGGTAAACAACAGATATTCTATAGTGTACTGTGTTGCCTGTGTTTTTTGAAATAATTTTGCCCAACTACAGGCTAATGTAACTATTCTTAGCACATTTAAGGTAGGCTAGGCTAAGCTATGATGTTCATTCAGTAGGTTAGGTGTATTAAATGCATTTCAACTTGATATTTCAACTTATAATGGATTTTTCTGGATATAGCCCCATGGTACATTGAGGAGCATCTGTGATTTGCACCACATATTCATCATCATGATTTAGACACTGTTTCAGCTGGTAGCTTTATTTCAAGTAGCTTTGAAGTATTTGGATATAAAGCATGTCTTATGCTTCTACATTCCTTGTGTTGCTGCCCACATATTAATAGGTGGTCATCAAGGACTTGATTTTTGATCAGGTTTGATTAGATAGGCTGTACTGGTAGATGGCTACCAGTAACCATGAATTGTATTAACTAAGTAGACTCATCAGAGCCTCTAAGTGAAACCACTTTGTAAGTGGCCAAAGTTACTTTACACACTAACAACACCTGGAAAAGCACCATGGTAAAATTACTGAAGTTGAGTCCTAAAATCTGGGTTGAATGCCAGACCTGCTGCTTATTTATCTGACTTTGGTTGAATCACTGAAACTGCTCTTTCTGTAAAACAAAGAAATTAGGCTGGATAGTCACTGAGACACCTTCCAGCTCTTACTCTGTAATGCTGATTTAAACATGTGTATTTTTAAAATTTAATTCAAATATTTAACTAGGCTCAAGTTGCTTACCAGAAGAGGTTTTTTTTCCTTAGTAAGATTTACCATGTATTGTTTCCCACACTGAAAGATGACCAGACAGTGCCTTGTATGTTTAAACTTGGCCAAATGGCTTCATCAAATGAAATTATTTTGCAAATGGATTTAACTTCGTTAAATATATATATATTTAATATATATGTAATATATATGTATATATATTTAATGAAGTTAAATATATATACACACACACACAGACACATAAGCTTTATAGCAGATTCCATTCTCTAAACATGTGACCTGCTTAAAAAGGACCATCTTTTATTATCCTCACAGGTCTACTGGTAGTATTTTAAACTGTGGGGGCCGGGGCGTCCAAGCATTGTGATGTGATTTATACCACTCCAAATCATGAAAGCAGGATTTAAAAATCATAGTGTTCTACAGCCTTTGCTCATAGGTAGATTTCGTCCTTACACTTGATTTTTCTTCTGCTTTGTTAGTGCTTTACATTCACTTGAAAGAAAGCCTGGCTTTCTTTGTTTGGAATATTATAGTTGGATCATATTATACTGAAAATAGC